CAACGTATCTAGCCTACCAAACACCAAATGTATATAGTATGACACAAGCATTTTTGACATTAATTAATATTTTAGATTTGTCTTGTCTTATGTCCTGTCACTCCTGTCTCTTCTTCTGCTCCGAGTGATTTGTGGATAGTATTGATATCCATCTGTTTGAGTGCCTATTATAATATTATTGGGGTATTGTCATTCTCTCTTAAACTGATTGATTCTCCCAAGATTACAAAGAATATTATCCCTTCTGTTCTGTCATCCCATCCATGCAACTTAAGTATAGAAGACATGGGTACTGTTCCTCTCTTAACCCTAAGAGGGTGGTTAGCGGTTAAAAAAGTTTATTTTTTTTATTAATTTTTTAGGTTAGAATCTTGAGATCATTTATCATATTTTATTACTTATTTTGGAACAAATTTGTAGAATATTTAATGGACCCCGATGATTAGTTAAAATATGCATAAGCTGACCCGAACACCTCGATTATAAAAAAATAAAATAAAAAAAGTTGCCCCCTTTTGAATAATCTGAATATGGTTCAAAACTTAACTACACTAGTGTTTGCTATTATTTAAACGGTTCGACTATGGTTCAAAGATAGTAGTGTTACCATTTTTTCAACAATTTGATCATGATTCAACAGTTGAGTAAGGAAAACTTTATATTTAGTTGGATTTCTAAAAGACTAAAACTTTTCACTTTGAGATGATATAAAAAATTGTAATTCTAGCTAACGTGCACCTCGACTAGCAACCCATCGTTACGATCTCTTACCTAAATTGTAGATGTTTAGATAGAGAATTGAACCTAAGACCATGCGTCTATCTACACTATTCTTAAATCAGCCTAACCATCTGAGCTACCCTTATGAACATTATTTATGTTGATGCGTGATTTTGACACCAACTAAACGTACGTGTGAAATGTTGAGCTGACCTAAAGAACACACGTGAATAGGGGTATGAGAATGGATAAATGATGGAGAACGATGTTTAAAGTTGTTCGGATGCTTAAACAAGCGACTCCTACGTCCACTGATATTGTATTAATATACTGATATCAGGTTGTGTTCAACGAGCTGATTTACAAGTGATTACAGGAGAGATAATATATGTTATTACAGAGAGAAATTAGCTAATCCTACAAACAGGAGAGGAACCCTTTATTTATAGTGGAATAAATTGAGGTAATGATTACTAAATCAGGAAGTGGGTCAGATTTCTGTACAAATCCTTCCTTACACCCCGTTATTCACTTACCCGAGTGATTTACTCGATTCTCGTAGGGATTGGACACATGGATCACCTCCAGCCTTTCACCAGCCTGACGCGCATCTACTGCACTGGTAGGAACATGTCTCTTGCGTCAGCATGCGACGTGACTGTACTTGAACGGCACCTGAACTTACCTAAGCTTTGACCGCTTACGCTGACAGGACTCTGCGTTAGTCCTACTTTTTCAAGCATAACAATTTCATTTGTCAACAATAAACAAATCATGTTTTTATGATAAACAAATAAATAATTTTTGTTTATGACCCTTGTTTAATTAAGATCCAATTTGGATCTTATAGTCGAGAAGGTTCGAAAATTAAGTAATTCTGATTTCAAATCTTCTTTTTCCCACTTAATATTATATTAATAAAGATCATAATTAATTGAATTTTTAATGATTACATCAACCCTTTTAATTAAAAAATATAATTAATTAATTAGTTAATCATAATTTTGTGCTTTCACTATTTCGACCACATAAAATTGATTGCTTTATCATCAAGAAAATGGAATCTTGAATTAGGATGGCTAATTTTGTCAAAGATAAAGATTGCCTAGATTCATATTACTCGCACCTTAGATTCCATCTTTTGTTTTTGCATGCATTGAATTAAAAAAAAAAAAAAAAAAAAGAGGCGGCCCAAAACATGTATTGTGGGCCCATTTACTGTATGACCGACACAAATATCGAGTAATATTACATATATTAATAGATAAATTAACACGTGCCGAATCTAAATTTTATATAAAAAATAATATAAGTTTGTATGAGAAATATTATATGTGGTATATTATTCATTGTATTTAGAAGTAAAAAAGCTCTGGTAATTAATGGCTCCGTTTGGTTCACAATTTTGTGTTTTTGAGAAAAGTTTTTTTAAAAAAGTTAAAAAAAAGTTGAATTGGACGGGTATTACGATGTAAGATTTACAAATTTAAAATACCCCCTATGTTTGTTTTCTTACAAAACACCCCTTATAATAAAACATTAAAAGTTAACAAAAATACCCCCAATCCACCCTCAAATACGGACAGTCGGCCACCACCGCCGGAGGGTGGCCGGAGTCGCCGTAACAAAAACATTAAAAATATTTAGGGGTATTTAATTGAATTAACAAATTTAGGGAGTTTAAAAAATGTTGAATAAAGTTGAATAATATTGTGAGTTTTTTGGTATTTTACTGTTTTAACTTTTTTGGGAATACTAAAAGTAATATTCCCAAAATCCAACCAAACGAAGCCAATAACTTTATCATCGGAAATGATAACGATTTCATGGTTAGAAATGTGATTATTTTTGTCCTTGTTGAGGGGATAAGTGTGTTACTTTTTGATTTTGTCGGGACCAAAGGGTTAGTTTTTTAGGGGAGCAGAATGTTACTTTCTGATTTTAGTGGATCAAAGTGTTCTAAACATAAAACGGGTTGTTTTAATTTGTGCCCTGAAAATGAGTTGTCTTAAAGAGTAAATGCTAGAATTACTAAAACACAACCTTATATAAATTTGATAATTCATGGTAATTAATAATAAAGGATAATATAAAAGATTATATTGATAATATAAAATGTTACTTATCACGGAATTTACTGCAATACAATGCTGTATCAATACATCAACCTAAATTTTATAAACTTGTGATGTGAAATTTGTAAACCAAAAACTTAAAACTTGTAAAATACATTTATACACTGTTGTATAATGACCAAAGCCATCAAATTGCATATACAATATCCCTCTTGGATGTTAATAGGGGTAGTCATTGAAGTTTTTATCTAACCTGTAATTTCAGGATCTTGAATGATTAATTAAAATATATGTAAATTAGTCTGAACACTATCGGTCATTAAATAAAAAAAAAAAAAAAAAAAAAAGAAGGGTATACACAACAGGGATAGTAGTCAAGGTATTGATAGAAAGAAAGCAAATCTAATCGCCGACTACAGGCTGACAAAAACAAAATGCAACTTGGTGACAGGTTATAAATTCAATCAGTAAAGTAGTTGAATTTCAAGACGAGAGAGAAAAAAACAAAAGTGTGATAAGAATATGAGTGAGATATGTGAACTCATCTGTCTCTATCTTCCAGAAGGCAAAGCAGCCACTAGATTTCTTGCAAAATCTTTGCTTTTCAGAGGAAACCCCCTCTTCATCTTCCTGAAAGGGACCTTGAATCATATAAGAATTACCGTCACCAATTCAATTCCACGCGTGCTATAATGCAGTTATTAAACTAAGATGAAAGATCTATGGCTGAATACAAGATTAGATGCACATAATTTTCAATATTGGAGGAAAGCTAAGATCCCGGTTATGAGATGTCAACAAAGCATGGAAAAAGGTTTTTGTACTGTCAAACTCGAATTGACATAAAGAGAAAGAAGGCCGTAACTTAGCCGTCCATGGTTAGACAATCATGAAGCTCAGTTTCATGAAAAGATTTAGAAACAGAAAAACCTTTCTATCTTCTTTACTTTGCTGTTTATTGTTTAAAGTCTTAACGAATAACGATAAGTCTCTTATCTTCATTTTATCAGTAAAAAAGTTGATTATCAGTAAGATTAGATGAATCTGTTTCGTTCAAGCCTCTCGTGCGGTGATTTATGACAGGAGAAAAACACATTTAATACTTTCTCTTGTGTTCACTGTCTTTATCAACTTATGGTTCTAGCCTGATTTAGACCTTGTTCTTGTCCATTTGTTCTAATGCATTTGTGAACACTAGTTACCGAAAATTGTGCTTAACAAATTGCAGAATGGTGTTATGTCTTTTGCTTAAAATTTCTAAACAAAAAATTGACTCATTTTAGCTTTGCCCTTGGATTGAAATGAGACAGCTATCAAGCTGCGTGAAGAAGTTTTCTTCCCAGAAAACAGACAATCCGGGGTCTCCGTTTCCATATATAATTTCAGGTTTTGATCTCTTTCAACCTTCTCTCTTTAGACTATTAATGTCATTAATCTATCACAAAGTACTTAACCTAAAAATGGAGGATCTATAACAAGGTTTTGACTGCTTCATTCAAGAGAAAGAAACAGGCAGCAAACATGATCCGGGCAGTACTTTTAAGATAAATAATTGCAGGTAGCTGATTGTGTAAAAGCTAGAGAACTACCGAAGATGACAGCTTGAAGAAGTTTTTATTAACCATGTATTGCCTAAAGTTTACGACCAAGAAACAAGGTTTGGTAAATGCATCAATCACAAATTTTCAACCTGTAAATGAATGTTAGCCAGAAAGGAGAATGGTGGGGTATGAATCTATGAGTCACCGTAAATTGAGGTCTTATAGATTGGATCTAACACTTTGTCACCACATGAACACTAATCTCTCTTCCACCTGCAATATCTCAGCAGTCTTAACCATGACAAGAACCTCATCCTCAATAAATATCTATATCGGATAATTTTCCTGGTGTACAAATTCCAGGTTTTTAATTTTAAGCTCACAAGAAGGTTCTGATAGGAAGGTCAGAGAATTCAAGTTAGTCACTTGGAGTTTTCTCTTAGAATAGCAACTGTGACTAAAAATCATCTCAACTGAACTGAACTATAAATCATAAACCCTAAATCTAGGATGTGCAAATACTAGTTTAAATTCCAGCAACAAATTCATTGTACAATTGATGAACGATGCGGCGATGAGCATAATTGAAAAGCAAAGACTATAGGATGGAACAAGACAATTCGAGAACAGAATTGTAATTTCATTCCAATAAAAAATTCTAGTTCACCTGCCTCTAAAATGATGGATTCCTTTACCAGCTTATGGAGACAACAGCAAAATTCTCAAAGAACAATACAATTAACGGAAAGAAAATTAGTCAAAACTGTTCTGACTGTGTAAGTGCCTCGGCTCCAGAGACAATCTCCAATAGTTCACCAGTGATTTTAGCCTGACGTTCCCGATTATAAGCAATGGAAAGATTCTTCTTCAACTCAACAGCATTATCCGTAGCAGTACTCATGGCACTCATCCTCGCTGCAACCTCACTAGCCACTGATTCCTGCAATGACCTTAAAATCTGACTATTCAAATATAGAGGCATCATTGCATCAAGAATCTGAACCGGATCCTGCTCAAATTGCATAAGCGGCGATAATCTTCCACCACTCACCTTAACACTATCTCTCTTAACAATCAACTTCCCCTCCTTAGTTGTCAGCCTAAATAACTCATCCTCCACAGCATCAACACACTTCCCATTCACATCACAAGCCTCGCCTTTGATTGATAAAGGTAACAAAGTATGAACCACAGGATCGGATTTCACCAGCGACACAAACTTAGTGTACACTAACTCTACCTTATCAACCTCTTCACTAACAAATAGCGAAAAAACATTATCAGCAATCAGTTGTGCTTCTTTTACACTATAAAACCCCCCTCCCTCAATACTCCTAACAACTGATACATTACTCCTATTTTTAAAGTAAGCATTACCCTTTTTCCCTACACTAATAACAACACAATCAAGTCCATTTCCTTTCAATTCAGCCATCCGGGTTTCGGCCTTTCTGATTACAGCATTGTTAAAACCACCACAGAGACCTCTATTTCCAGTTATAACAACAATAGCAACTTTCTTAACAGGCCTAATATTTGTCAAAGGAATATCAATATCATCAGCTTGTAACTCTTTATTTACAGCATAAAGAAATTCTAAAAGCTTTTCGGTAAAAGGTCTACTATTAATCACAGCTTCTTGGGCTCGCCTGACTCTCGCAGCCGCAATAAGTTTCATTGCCTCAGTGATCTTCAGAGTGTTCTTCACTGTATTGATCCGGTTTTTAAGGTCGCGAACACTACAATGTATTGGTATAAATACTGAAGATTGACAATGGTATTTTAGGAATGACGAATTTCTAAGATTGTGGCATGAGTTCTGGTCTAAGAATGAAAGAGAAAATGTGTTAGTTTTTGAAGATACCCAAGCGGTTAAATTCGAACAAGACATGATTCTGATGGAGTTTCCTGGGTAAAGGTTAGCTTTTTCTGAAGTTTTGAATCTCTGCCAAAACCCTAAGAAATGAAATTTAGGGTTTTAGAGAGTTTTTTGAGCAGTAAGATTTTGAGTTCGAAATTTAAACAAAAATCTTACCTTTAAGAAACTGTTGAAGGAGGAGTTGTAAACTTGTAATGACCTAATGGGTCCGTTCTGACCACCTTGAAAAGTGTTGGAACAAGGTGGTCAAGGTGGGACTCTGTTTGGTTGGCGAGAAAATTGATGGGAAAGTGATGCGGCTGTTGTTGTTGAAGTCGGTTTTTGGTCGGTTCGTTATAATCAAAGGACCTGTTTGGGTGACGGTGGAACAATGGTCTAGACTTGATGTAGTGTTGTCTTGCACCAGTTTTTTTATTCCGAGTATATATATATAATGGACGAAGAAAGAAGTCTATGATTGTCTAAGGCGATAAATAAAAATCTAGATTAAGTATAAGGTTAAGGTATATATAAAGTTTAAGGGTTATTATAGAAATAAATAAAATTGATTTAAACATTTTTTCGTATTTATAATTTTTATTTTCTTAATAAGGCATCCGATCTAGTTTACGCGTACTTCGATTTATTTTTGAGAAAATCATATTTATAATTTATAAAATATAATATTTATAATTAAAGTTAATTACCCCCAAAATATAATTTTATAATTAAAGTTTACTAATAATGTGAGACTTTTATAATATAATATTTAATTAGACCAATGATTGAGTGGTTTGATAAAGACTTTTAGGTTATTAATAAGGATAATTTTTGAAATTTTTACCTAACCGATAGTTTCAAAATCTGAGAGAATTAATTGGGATACCGATAGTTTCAAAATCTGAGAGAATTAATTGAGATGTACCTAAATTGACATAAACACTTCAATTAAAAAAAAAAATAGGGAGAACCATACAATACTATTCTTAGTATATTATTATTATTATTATTAATGATTAGTGTTAAAATACATAAAATTTAAAATATAAATTAACGGAATACAACATTTCTTATAATATTATTGTGAGTTTATAACAATTTTATACAAAAATGTAATAAGCTTAATTAATTAAGGATTCAATCTAGTTGAAAGCATTACTGTTTTTCAAAAGAAAACCTATTCAAAGGATAGGCGGAACCGAGGTGGAATGGATATTTATTCGGGTCGAGAGACAAACCCAAATTAAACCCAGCTTCTCAATACAACATACATCCCGGCAACACCAGTGAACGTGAAAGCATAAATTTTGATTCATTTCTCTCCATTTTATTCAGCTCTTGATTGTTTAATATTGTAAAAGAGATAAATGTCGAAGCTTTTTTCAAGACTTGCTGGGTTTTTCAGCGGCCGGAGTTTGGCGGGTATGGACAAAGCAGGGAACCGCTACTTCACTAGAACCGAAGAGCTTGATGGAATCAGTAAGAGGGTCTCACTTTTTTCTATTTTATTTTACAATTCATGAATTGCTACTTGATATTTATTATATTTGGCGACTGGGTTCTTGTTTTCTGCTGAAAAAATGCATGGAAATTCAAGAAATTTATATAGTTGTTTGGCTTACCAGAGGTATAAAATTTGATAATTTGTTAAAGTGAAACGATTTTTAAGGTGTAGCGGCAATGTTGTTCATTTGATCATGACAAGAGACTATAAAATGATTTTGTTGTGTTAAGTTTAACTTATGTTTGTAGTTTCCGTGATATGCTAGTGAAAGAGAAAAGATGGGTGGTGTTTAAAGGAGAACAAGATCCAACCTCAATTCCAGGTTAGCTTTTTTTTATTTTATTTTATTGATTGTGTAACTAGAGTTTTTTTTAGGTTTGGTTATGAAGTACATTGCACTATAATGTTTGCTTACAATCTTGACTATTTATAGTTGAATGGATATGTTGGCTGAATGGGCAGCGTAAAAAAGCTCCAACACCAGAGGTAACTAAAAATGGTTTCGTTTGTATTCATCATTTATCTTTTCTATTTGTGGTTTATCTAGGAGGGGAAAGAAACTCTCAATGACTAGTCATGTTGATTAGCTTTTTTTATTTTTTTGTCAAATACCTGCTTTTTCATTGGTCAAAGGCTCTAATTTTAAAGAGATATTTTGGTGGAATTATTGATTGCTAGTGTTTTTAGGTTTAGCTATCTTATAAGAATGGTTTCTTATGTTTTTTGACAATGTCATGTATTTCTTCAGGAAATGGCTGATCTGGAAGCAAGGCGTGAACGTGTTAAGCTTAATGTTGCTCGTATGTGTCCGTTAGTATCATCATTTGGTGTTTATATTTTAGTGCTTCTGCTATGTTTGTTATCTCATTATTTCATGAGAATTATCTTACTCATGGTGCTTTTCAGTAAAATTGGTCTTCAACTATTTGCTCCTATTGAAGTGTAAATTAGATCCTAGAACGTATCTTCTTCTTACTAACTTATTGCTTTGTAAGTAGACTATTCAAGCATTTATTTATTTATTTGTGTATAGTTCTCAAGAAAGAAGAAGAGGAAAAGAGAGCCAGAGAAGGCAGTATTCCCAGAGGCACAAGCATTGGTCAGTTGCTTTGAAAATCTTCTTGTTAATTGTGTTATTATGCTTTTCAGATGATAATACTCCATGTTATAGGTAAAATTGGAGGTCCAGACTTGAAAAGTTTCATCAAGCAATTTCCAACTGCATCAGAAGGTATATATACTTCCTTTGTTGTACTGCTATAATCAAGGATTGCTTTTTGAGCTAACTTGATAATTTGGTGTGAAGCTTAGTTAAGTTGAGCTGTATGATTGATATCAAGAGAAAAAACAATTATTTTTTTCCTGAAATAACCGTGGCACCAGTAATAAAATGAAGCTCTGCAGCCATGAACTTACCCCCTATGCAGAAGCAAAAAGACTAATAAGATCAACCCAAAAGCTCAAATGAAATCCTGAAAATTACTCAACTGGATCTTTGTAATGACTTTTATGGTGGTTAATGATCCTACTGGTCTTTAGATTGATTGCATTATGGCTCACATCTGAGTCTAATAGACAAGACAAGTAACTATTATAGCACAGGATTCTCATTTCACGGCTCTTGTTTCTACAGAATACTATAAAACATATATCTTTCTATGGTGCAGTTATAATCTGTTAAGGACCTTGAGCTATGCTGCCTAATTATCGACTTCTGTGTGTGTTGCTTATGTTCTTTTGCTATAGAATATAATTTCTGCCTTTGATACTGAAAATGCTTATTTTTTATTTCGTTGTTCTTGAAGGTGAAAGGCGTACAGAAGCTTCTGATTCAAAGGATGGTGAAAGGTGTGTCAGTTCATATATTTAGTTAGATTTTATAATCATAACTAGACAAATTTACAACTAATGTGATGTAGTACTTTTGGGTTCTATGTTCAATGATGGAAGGTTGTCTTGTCACTTGAGCCAATGTCATGCTTTGATCTTGACATCTTATGCAAATTTAGCTCCTCTAATATCCAGTTTCGTTTTGACTCATTGGTTACTGTTTTATTTCACTTATCAAGGAATGCATATTATTGGACTTGGTTCTCCTTGTGCTCTAACATTAGGAATTATATTTACAGGACTAAAGAAACAGAAGCAGAAAAAGCAAGACCCGTTCCAGAGTTAGTTCCTTGGCCTTCCTTCTGATTGCTTTCTTTCTCTCGATATCTTTATCTTTCCATAAAGTTAACCATTGAACATATTGAATATTTCAAGTGACTTCTAGTATTTACAAGGAAATTCCTTCATGCATGGTAGTATAGATTTTATTGTATTCTTTTAAAAACCTTCTTTTCAGGTCTTCGGAACCAACAGGAACAGGCGCATCCTACAGACCAGGGATATGGCAACCACCGACATGATGACTCTCACATGACATTACAAGAGGTTTCATTACTATTATTTTTTCTGGTCCTCACCCTTGATGATTCTGATTGTCATCCAATCATCATAACCAGACTCGACTTTATTGATGAAACACGTCATTAATCGACGAGGCTTTTGTTGCAGCACCCGAAAAAACACATTCGTTTTCACATAAATGTTGTTTGATCTTCACCTCAAAAAGGGGTAAAGAATTGTTGGAATAAGGCTTCTGAAAATTTTCGGTGTGTGACTCGTGCTACACACGTATGCAAAAGTCATACATGGAATTCATGTTATCAATGTATAATTTTGAGTATCGCATGAAGAATATGAACATTGTGAGAGTAGTAGTTTACAGTTATAAATTTTTTCATGATTTAAATACTCTTCAACTGCTGCTTGTGTCATGACTGTCTTTGGTTCACTGAACTATGCAATGGAGTGAAATATTTAAAGATTATGGTTGACCATTCTGTCTCGTTTGGGTTCATGGCTGCTAATGACCTATAAAAAGGGGTGTCCCCGTGGCATTGGCCCTTTAACCCTGTTTGAAGCCTAAAAAACAAGTGTCCTTTGGCCTTTGCATCTTACAAAAATTCTCAAAGTCTGAATTGTAACAGTAATGCTAGATTTACCGATCCAACTATCGATTTGACATACTGACTCATGTAAAATAAGTTAAATTTTGAGATTTGGGTAGTTGGATTGGTATGTAAAAATCGGTATTTGGGTCGGTAAGTATAGTATTACTGGAATTGTAATTACCCTTGGATTAAAACCTTATATAATGATCGGTATGAGACTGTATGATAAATTTCAATAATATTTAAAGTTTTGGGAGTTTTTTTTTTAACAGGATGTCTAAATTAATTTATGTGTATTTTAATTAATCCTTTAGACTTTGAAGTGAATGATTGGATGAATTCTTTTAATGATCATCTTTATTAGTGTTTGAGGGTCTTGAACTGTATTGGACTCTTTTCTTTTTACCCATCTAATTATTCTATACAATGATATAAGTATATTTGACGTGGTTATATTATTGAATTTTATACTATTATGAGAGCGTGTGCTGCACACTCCATTGATAGAGAACAAGTTGTGCATTGCTCCACCATGAGAGAAAAGAGAATACTAGAAAGCACGAGATATCGGCATCCAAATCCACGTGGCTAGTTGTAGAAGAACAAATCTCCAACATGATTTGTCCAATTCAACTGGAAAAATTACAATTGTATCCCTAAAGTATGGTCTAATCATATGTTTCCGTAACATCTTGTCCCCTATCAAATCGTTTTGGTCGTTTCATTAATTAAAGAGCATTAGACATATTCCCAACAAGGATAAGAGAATATTTTTGATTGAATTTATTCTAAATCCTCACTTTTAAAATAATATCATTTTTTTTATTTTAATATATTCTTTTTTACTGTAGTATGACATATATTAATATACTTAAGTATACCGTTAGTTTTTTTTAATAGAAAATGAGCTTATATTAACAAAAACAGCTCACGTACACTTAACAGCATCTAAGTCGATAATTTTTGGTTTTTTTCGAACAATTTGGAATTCTAAAATCACTTCCAAGACTACCTTCAGATTCCTTATAACCTCTTTTGTAAAACTTATAACTTTACTTGTCGATCTTAATCACCGTTTTTGACCATTTTTAACAGTCATTAACGACGATAGATTAAGGGTGAGAATATAGAATAAATGCAATTAAGGGTATTAACTTAAGATTTTGCTAAATCTTAGGTGGGAATATGTCATTTATTCTTAATTAAACAATGAAATGGTATTTTGTAATTTTGTCTAATTGTTTTATTAATAATAGATACCAAAACGTTACTAAGAAATCCTACTAGACTCAAAGAGTTTTCAGGCCAAAAATAAGGGACGAAATTAAAATTAAAACTATTTTCATCTAAGTGTGCATGCAGGCATGCACCCACCATAAGTCACTGTCACTCCTAATTATTCCTATCCAATCTATATATAGTAATGTTGTTGTTCGAAGTAGTGTATTGAATTTTTACACCAAATAACGTGATAAAATCTTAATCATTGATTAATATTAAATTAAAATTAATCAATGGTCAGGATTTTACTACGTCATTCGATACATAAATTCGGTGTACTATCATCGATGACTATATTATTTTTCATCCATATAAATCTATATTATAATATAATCTTTTTATTGGCTAGAATGTACTGACTGGCCACTCTCTTTCGTCAAAAAAAAAAAAAATCAAATTTTTATAAATTATTTTGATGAAAATCACCAAAAATTTTAGATATATTCGATACAATCTTCATCTAATTTGCTATGATCACGATAAAAATGAATAATTCTGACAATTTCGATCATAATATTAAATAAATATGAAACTTTATAATAAATCTTTAATTATTTTATGAGTCTTGTGATGAACGCGCGCCTAAGCCTAACCACTAAATTAAACATTAATTCATGTTAATTAAAATATGATTAACCGGAATAATTCTTTATTATCTAGAAAAGCCACGAACCAGAATGAATAGTCAAAAGGTCAAATATAACCCGAATCTAATCTCCACTGTTAATTTCCTGATCAAAATCCATCAAACGGTCCACACAAAACCCCACTCTCACTGTGCCACTTATATAAATCCCGTCATCTCTGTAACTATGCTCTCTCATTTACACTCCTCGCAAAGGAGCTGAGTCCCCATTTAACCAGATTTTCTCTCGGCTTCTATTCTATCTTTTAGGGGTTACAGTTTCATTTCCATTTTTCAATTTAATTCATTTTTTATTTATTTATTTTTAATTTTGTTTTTGGTTACGTGAACGAACCAAAATGTATATATCGAGTTCTTCGGCTTCTCGTGCACGTTTCGCGACGAAGTCGTTTGCGAGAGTCTCTTCTTCGTTTTCATTTTCGCCTGCTTTGTCTAAAACGACGGGGTCTGCTTACGCTTCGTCTCAGTCGTGTGTTTCTTTTGTCAACCAGAAGTATCGGTCTTTGAGTTTCTCGTCAGTGTTGCGGTGCGCGGCGCCGCGGTGGAGCCATGGAGTCGACTGGCGCTCCCCGGTCAGCCTCCGCGCTCAGGCGAGAATTACCGGTCCGGTTCCGGAACAGTTTGAGCGAAGGATCGCGACTTTGGGTGCGTGAGTCTGTTAAGTTTTATTTTGGTTAGAAAAAAAAGTCTCTTTTCCTGATGACCCTTTTTGTTTTTTTTTTTTTTTTTAATGTTCGGGAGAAATGTCGGAGATTGAACTGAGTTGTTTTGTAATTTTGTGAGTTTTGCGCTTGAATCTTAAGAAGGTTGGTTTTTTGATATGTTTGGGAGTGCTTTCTGTTTGGTTGAAAAGAAAACAAAAGGTGGAAAGGAAGAGTTTTGTGTATTTTTGTATTAGTTTTGTTTAGTTTGTGGTTGGAGCGGAAAAAAAAATAGTATTTGATGTAATTGGAGTGTTTTCTGCTTGTTTGCGAAAAAAATGGCGGGAAATTAAAAGCGTTCAAGTTGATTGTGATGGAGTAGATGGTGTTTTCATGATAATTGGATTGCTTTTGGATGAGAACTGACTGGAAATGGAGTTAAATTGTTAGGTAGTTTTTAAGGATGATCGTGGCTTTTTGTGTTGTGTGAAATATGTTTTCTGTTGATTGTTATGGTTGATGAGGACATCGTGGAAATGGATTAGAATTGTTCGTTGGTTAAGCTGAGCAGTTTGTTGATTTTATAAGTGATGTTGATTAACTTAGAGTGGGACTTTTAGTGATGATTTGAGTGTTTTCTGTTTGGTTGAAGAGGAAATGGTGGGAAATACAATTTACAAATCATTGAGTGATTGACTGAGCCAAAATGACCATTTGTTGTGGTTGTTTGGTTTGATTCTTCTTGGCTGAATTGAATAGTTTCATGCTTTATTATAATTTTTCAGTTATTATAGTTTGGTGATGTACGACCAGTGATAAAAACTTTGCCCATTTGCCTGTGCTTTTTTAGTTTCTCTGTAGTAATTATTTTAAGCAGTTTATGTAAGGAGGAAAATGAATTAAAATATTTATTTACATTTTGTTTTTCTAGTTAAAGTTCTATTTAAACTGGAGTGTCCAGAATTGAGCCAGAGAAAAAATAAAAAAAATAAAAAAAGAGAGAAAATTGCAGCTTTATGTACTTGGTTTGTTCGTCTTTTTTGTACACTTATTGAGGATCTTTGAACAGCAATGGAATTTTAAACCTTCTTCTTTGGATGAATATCTTACTTAGTTATGCACTTTGTGATTTCCTTGGTTTTGTATGATATGAATTCGATTATCAGTTGGAGAATGATCTATCAATTGTAACATGTTTATTCTTGAATTGATTCAGCTCCTGATCATGCATTCAAGGGAATACTGACCAGTCTTCCCAAACCTGGGGGTGGAGAGTTTGGAAAATTCTACAGCTTACCTGCTTTGAATGATCCAAGAATTGGTAAACTCATCCAGCCTATACTATTGGATAAGAAAACATTTTTAAGCATATATATATGTGTATGTGTGTGTGTGTATTAAGCTTGTTAGGACATGCTTTACTGTTGAGGGTACTTTGAATTATAGATGAAATATTTTTCATTGAGCAGCCTTCAAACTACCGTACTCTGATCCCTAATGTTTTACTTCAATTGTTATTTGTTCATTTGTATTTTTCAGATAGACTGCCATACTCAATAAGGATCCTTTTGGAATCTGCAATACGTAATTGTGACAACTTCCAAGTTACCAAGGATGATGTAGAAAAGATTATTGATTGGGAGAATACTTCACCAAAACAAGTTGAAATTCCCTTCAAGCCTGCCCGTGTTCTCTTACAGGTTCATTAAATAAGTTAAATGATCACTCTAGTTTTAGTCATGAGGCATGAATTCCTCTTGATAGAGATTGCTTTCTTGACCAGGATTTTACTGGAGTACCAGCTGTTGTTGACCTTGCTTGTATGAGGGATGCCATGAAGAGTCTGGGCAGCGACCCCAAGAAGATCAACCCATTGGTTTGTTATTATGATTGAGTGTAGAACTTCTGGTGCCTTTTTGGATACTTGCACATTTCGGCTTTGCATCTGAGCTGCCTGTGTACTATATTTCCTTTCAGCAGAGGTTATATCACATAGTTTAACATAACATATTTGTATCCAGGTTCCGGTTGATCTTGTCATTGATCATTCAGTTCAGGTTGATGTAGCACGATCGGAAAATGCAGTACAGCAAAATATGGAACTTGAATTTCAGAGGAACAAAGAGAGATTTGCTTTCCTTAAGTGGGGGTCATCTGCTTTCCATAATATGCTAGTTGTTCCTCCCGGTTCTGGAATTGTCCACCAGGTAAAGAAGTTTAGTATGTGATGATTGCATTAGAAGACTGTATTAGGAATCATATGAACCATTATAAAGGTTGACATTCTCGGAAAGTTGCTGACTTTCTGTCTCTCATGAAATATGCACTTACCTTTTGAGTGGGAGCCTTTGCATAGTTAAGTTTCACTGTCTAGTTTCTTGTGAACGAGGTGATAAAATGTGCATGTTACCAATTTTTTCGTTTGTTTGAATTTACACAATGGAGGTTATAATGATTGATTTGGTATCGAGTTTACATGTTAATGAATTTGTAGGTCAACTTGGAGTACCTTGGACGGGTTGTCTTTAACACTGATGGAGTTCTTTACCCTGATAGTGTGGTTGGTACTGATTCCCACACAACAATGATTGATGGGTTGGGAGTTGCTGGTTGGGGAGTTGGAGGGATTGAAGCAGAGGCTACAATGCTTGGTCAGGTAGAGTATGCTCTTCTTTCATTGTTTTATTTCTTTTTGTAATTTCCAAACAACTTTTATCTGGATAGTTTTAAGATACTAATAGTAGAGAGCATCCTGGACACTCCTTTCTTCATTTTCCTTTTTAAAATGATTTGGAACTGATTTATTGGTGTTATTATTCCTATTATGTCAAAGAAAAACAATGTTCATTATGGTAGTCGTTGTTGAGTTTAGAAACATTCATAAGTAGACATCATGGCTTTAGTTAGGACAAGAAGTCTTCCTCATTCCTGTGTTTTGTATCACACTGACTCAAACCTATGGTTACATACACGTTCTTGCTACTCGCTGGTTTTGTTCGTACAATTGCATCTCTGTTTTTGTCTCTAATGCTGTAAATTACAACATTGACAGCCCATGAGCATGGTATTACCTGGTGTTGTTGGATTCAAGTTGAGTGGGAAGTTGCGTAATGGTGTGACAGCTACTGACTTGGTTTTGTCAGTTACTCAAATCTTGAGGAAACATGGTGTTGTTGGGAAGTTTGTCGAGTTTTATGGTAATTATAGTAAAGTGACTGAATTCAACAGTTAGATATCCATCATAATTGTATGTATGACTATTTAATTTGTATATGTTTCTAGGGGAAGGTATGGGTGAACTATCGTTGGCTGATAGGGCCACTATTGCAAACATGTCTCCTGAATATGGAGCAACCATGGGTTTCTTCCCTGTAGACCATGTTACATTGCAGTATCTGAGGTTAACTGGAAGAAGCGATGAGACAGTGAGTTAATTCCTTTTCCTTTTTTTTTTTTTTTTCCTAGGAGGCTGGAGCTGTTGCTAGATTTTTGTGGTTTTGGATTGTAATTACTTGAACTGTTTTAACTGATAGTTCCTATACTTTAGGTCACTATGATAGAGGAATACCTGCGTGCGAATAAAATGTTTGTTGACTACAATGAGGTAAAAGGTTTTCCGTTCTTGGTGCATCTATTACTTTATTTTTGAAGATAAGCATTCTCAGGTCTGATTTCAAAGGTCTTTCTTTATGATACAGCCTCAACAAGAAAGAATATACTCATCTTATCTGCAGTTGGACCTAGCAGAAGTTGAACCCTCTATGTCAGGACCGAAGCGGTATATACTTTATCTTTACAGCTTCGGAGTCTTATTGACTTGGTGCTTCTTTTTTTCTCTAATCCATGGTTCATTCTTTTTACTTTTCATTTGCAGGCCTCATGACCGAGTAGCTTTGAAAGACATGAAGGCTGATTGGCATGCATGTCTTGACAATCCAGTTGGATTCAAGGTGAGTTGCTAACAATAAAATTAGTGGACTGAGAACTTTTTATTGCTTGGAGTTTCTATGCTTCTTTATTCTAATAATTGACATCTCTATAAATTTCGTTTTTAAAACAAAGTATTCATAAATCTTGGGAACCTTTGCTGTGAAGTCAGAAATCTGTGCTTTCTCTTTGTCCTTGTTTAATGATGGAAAGTTTAGCAGTTCATATGTTTTCAGCTTTCACTAAACTATCCACTGATGTGAAATATGAATAATCATCAATAGACATGCTACACGACTAAATAATAGTATAGATGCTTATGATTATTTGTCCCTCGTCACAATATAATTCTTTTGTTTACTGCAGGGTTTTGCCATACCTAAGGAAGAGCAGGATAAAGTGGCAAAATTTTCATTCCATGGACAGCCTGCTGAACTTAAGCATGGTAGTGTTGTCATTGCAGCCATAACCAGCTGTACAAACACATCAAACCCTAGTGTCATGCTAGGGGCTGGTCTTGTGGCTAAAAAGGCTTGTGAACTGGGTTTGGAGGTTAGTTTTTTCTTCTTAAACATATGCACTTTTTCATTTTATTTTTGGTTCCTTTGAGATGAGATGATTTAGTACAAAATATCTAGTTGAATAATAGATTTCTTTGATTGGGGAATCAGTCTTTGATCATATGGTTTTATAACATGTACTTTAAATTATCATACATCAGGTTAAGCCATGGGTGAAAACAAGTCTTGCGCCAGGCTCTGGTGTTGTTACAAAGTATTTGCTCCATAGGTATGTCATAAATGTTTAGTATTCATTTAATGTTATAGTATGTTTCTGTATAGAAGTTACTTATGGTTCATGTTTTTGTGACTGTAGTGGTCTGCAAAAATACTTGAGTCAGCAGGGCTTTCACATTGTTGGCTATGGTTGCACAACATGTATTGGAAATTCTGGAGAACTTGATGAATCAGTTAGTGCTGCAATTTCAGAAAATGGTAGAAGTGCCGACTATCATTACTTTTCTAAAGTTTATGAAACTGTTTTGTTTGAATATTAACATAAAATTCTTATCTGGTTGCTCATGGAATTTTGACCAATTTGATTAGAAATTTTTGTTGACAGTTTATGAATTACCATTTCTGTGTCTTGAAGCTAATTCATTTTGGCTTGACTTGGGCAGACGTTGTTGCAGCAGCTGTGCTTTCTGGTAATCGAAACTTTGAAGGCCGTGTGCATCCTCTGACAAGGGCTAACTATCTTGCTTCACCGCCTCTAGTTGTTGCTTATGCTCTTGCCGGCACTGTAAGTAATATATTTTGTGGCCTAAATTTCTTATAAACAGGTATTTTTATGTGGAAGCTTAATTTTTCAATATGGGTCGGAATATTAAGTTGAAGCTGTTCTCTATTTGTAACCTTTATGTTAGTCATTTGATATGCTTTTTTTTTTTTTGGTTTAAAATCCTCTCAATCCCTCCAAAAACAATCAAACTAAATTATGATTTATGTCATGTAAAACTGGTGCTCAATTTTGTGATTTATTATTTTCAGGTTGACATAGACTTTGAGAAGGAGCCAATTGGAACTGGGAAGGATGGAAAGGATGTGTACTTCAAGGATATATGGCCTACTAATGAAGAAATTGCGGAGGTATTATGTTGCCCCAGAGAACATATGAAAGTTACTGAACTTGACATCGTCTTATTATTTAGCTTCAATTTGGAATGTCTTTTTGTAGGTTGTTCAATCTAGTGTGTTGCCTGATATGTTCAAGAGCACTTATGAGGCAATTACAAAGGGGAACCCTATGTGGAATGAGCTCTCTATTCCCACTACCACTCTTTACTGTTGGGATCCGAACTCAACCTACATTCATGAGCCTCCATATTTCAAGAACATGACTACAGATCCACCAGGCCCTCATGGAGTGAAAGATGCCTACTGCTTGCTCAACTTTGGTGACAGCATAACCACTGATCACATATCTCCTGCTGGAAGTATCCACAAAGACAGCCCTGCTGCAAAGTATCTGCTTGAGCGTGGGGTGGATCGCAAGGACTTCAATTCTTATGGTAGTCGTAGAGGCAACGATGAAGTGATGACAAGAGGAACCTTTGCCAATATTCGTCTTATCAACAAACTCTTGAATGGAGAAGTTGGTCCAAAAACAATTCACATTCCTACAGGAGAGAAGCTTCATGTTTTTGATGTAGCAATGGTGAGTAACATTGGAATAGTGCTAGATGCTAATTTTTTGCACTAGTATTGACAATCTTATAACATGATAAATAATGTTATGTTACTTGCAGAGGTACAAGTCTTCTGGGCAGGACACAATTGTCCTAGCTGGAGCAGAGTATGGAAGCGGAAGCTCTAGAGACTGGGCTGCCAAGGGTCCCAAGCTTTTGGTGAGTTCTGATTTCTTGCAATCGATATCTTTGTGGAATTTTCTGTTTATTCCTTTCTCTAACAAATTTATCAACTTTCTCAGGGAGTGAAAGCAGTAATTGCCAAGAGCTATGAGAGAATTCATCGCAGTAATCTTGTCGGTATGGGGATCATTCCACTTTGTTTCAAGCCAGGCGAGGATGCAGAAACTCTAGGATTAACTGGTCACGAGCGCTACACAATAGACCTACCAACTAAAGTCAGTGAGATAAGGCCTGGCCAAGATGTCACTGTCACAACCGACACTGGGAAATCCTTTACATGTATCGTTCGCTTTGATACTGAGGTATGTAGCAGCATACTCGTTCTTTGGTATGTGGTTAACTGAAATCCGTTCAAGTGTTTAAACTTGTATAAAAATTTTCAATCTGCGCAGGTGGAATTGGCATATTTCGACCATGGAGGCATTCTTCCATTTGTTGTTCGAAGTCTAAGCAAACAGTCGTAAATGAGTCTTGGATCAGCAGCCTTTTACTTGCATTACTTCACCCCTACAGTTTATAATAAGATGTAGAAAGAAGTACAGAAGTACATTTTTTGATTCTTTTTTTCTTTTTTCAAGTGGGATGATGAGTATTGCAACTTGTGTAGTTCTCGCTTGAGTTTTTGGTTACACTGTGAATCATTGCAGCTCATAAATGGCATTTTGAAGTGATTCCAAGTTGATCTAACAAGCTGTAAATCTCTTTCATCTTTTCCATTTACTTGTGAAGCTTGTTAACGTCTACACTAAAATCTATTAGTTTAATTGAAGAAAATATAACTTGTGCATCAATGGCTTTTAAAATGAGACATAATCAGAAAAAAGATGGCGGTTAAAACCATGCATTTGAGTAATCTTGGGTACCTACTACCTAGCGTTATTGTTCAAGATAAAATCAGACACGGAAGAATTTGGTAAAACCTAAAACAGTCACATGAAAGAGCATTTATCAAAATATAAAGATTTGATTCACAATCTAATCTTATAAACTTTATTTTATAATTTTGATGTAATAGCTTACAATTTGTCAGTTTACAATTGGATAGACATAACTTATAACGAACAGATGAAACCATTGTTTTAAAAACTGGACCGCTCATTGACCTGATCAAGGGACTAGTTCACGGGTTGATCTTTCCAACCGATTGGACCGATCGGTTTGACCGGTATATAGTAGTCATATCTTTAAACAATTTCATTAATTGTTATAAGTTTGAAAACTAACAAATACATCCCTAAAATTCACCTATAAGGCCCCTGCAAGTTTAAAATAAAACAAATGCACTCTGCAGATTTTATTATTAATTATTTTATTCTTTCTCCCCATCACTCCCCATTAGAGCTGGGTATTTGGGACCGGGCCCAAAAGCCCAGCATCAAAACCCGGTCCTAGGACCGGTCCTGAGGCCTGGTCCCAAAACTGGACTAGGCCTAAGGAGGAGGGCCCGAGCCCTCCACTGGGCCCTCCTCCAAGGCCCGGGCCTGGGCCCAATTTTTTTTTTACATTNACTTTATTTTATAATTTTGATGTAATAGCTTACAATTTGTCAGTTTACAATTGGATAGACATAACTTATAACGAACAGATGAAACCATTGTTTTAAAAACTGGACCGCTCATTGACCTGATCAAGGGACTAGTTCACGGGTTGATCTTTCCAACCGATTGGACCGATCGGTTTGACCGGTATATAGTAGTCATATCTTTAAACAATTTCATTAATTGTTATAAGTTTGAAAACTAACAAATACATCCCTAAAATTCACCTATAAGGCCCCTGCAAGTTTAAAATAAAACAAATGCACTCTGCAGATTTTATTATTAATTATTTTATTCTTTCTCCCCATCACTCCCCATTAGAGCTGGGTATTTGGGACCGGGCCCAAAAGCCCAGCATCAAAACCCGGTCCTAGGACCGGTCCTGAGGCCTGGTCCCAAAACTGGACTAGGCCTAAGGAGGAGGGCCCGAGCCCTCCACTGGGCCCTCCTCCAAGGCCCGGGCCTGGGCCCAATTTTTTTTTTACATTTTATCATTTTAGTCATTTGTAAAATTACTTAAACCCCCTAAAATAAGTATAAATTATAAGGACTAAAAAGAAATTTTACAAAATTTATTAAAAAAAAAAAAAATATTTAACCTTTCATAACCGTTGGCTGCCAACGGTCACAACTCACACCAACAGTTATAAACTTATAATTATAAGTTTTTTTTTTCATTTTCGCCCCCACAACTACACTATAAGTAACCCTAAAACCTTTAATTTTTTTCACACCAATTAATCTCTCATTCTTTCATTCTCTCAATCTCTCTACTCCAAATCTCCGATCAATTTCTCATTCAATTTATATTATTCAAATTTTTTTCTATTTTTCAATATCATCATAATTTCATATTATTATTTAATTTCTTTTCATTTTAATTATTTATTATTTTATCATAAATTTATAATGTCTTCCCTAAATGAGTTTTACGTTCCATCCACCGAAGAAATTGAAGCCTTCAATCCATTTTCACCATTTCCTCCAGAGGATGCAGCTGTAATTCCACAACCACATTCGGTCAGGACGAGGTGTAGCCAAACACATGTGAGCTGCGAGTCAACGGGCACGCAAAAACATGTTAAAAAAAAAACACAACAAAAAACACCCAATTTAAAAAACAATGTGCATAATGTGTTGTTTATTTAACCAACAAACAAATGATAACAAAACGGACTAGCCCAACCCCCCGACCGTCAAAGAGGGTCATGTCCGATGTCTGGCGATACCTCACCAAATCAAAACGGCCAAAGACAAATGGAAGGGGGAAGAATGTGTGGGATATGTATGTGGAACCATTATTGGGGCTGAGAAGGGGACTTCGACGATGCGACGACACGTAGAGAAGAAGCATCCCCAAATAAATGCATCTTCAAGCGGATCAGGAGACAAATTCAAACTAACTTAATTTTAATCCACAATCCCAACTCTCTCAACATGGCAATACAATACACATGTTGCACGAGAGGAAATAACAAGATATATAGTTGCTACGGACTCTCCCATTGTTTACTGAAAATCTTTTTTTTGTTAATATGGTTAAAACTCTTTTGTCCAACATATACCCTGTTAGTAGAAGTACAAGTAGAAGAGATATACTAAAATTTATAACAAAATAAATAATAAACTTAAAAACGAATTTCAAAATTTTAGGAATATATCTATTGCACTTACATCAGACATATGGGCTTCTAGATCAAAAACCGATTTTTAACTGTCACAGTACATTTCAGATCATAATTGGGGTTTACAACAAAAATTGATAGGTTTTAAACCATTATATGAAAAACATAGTGCTGAAACTATTATTTTACAATTCTTGAAGTTTTGCAAGAATATTTATAATGATAGAGTTGTAGCGCTAACGCTTGATAATGCAAGCTGCTAACACCGCGACAATCTCTTTATTTGAAAAGAAATTGGATCTGCTTGGTGAAGGCAAATTTTATCAACGCGATGTGCTCGTCACATATCAATTTGATAGTTAAAAAGGTTTAGATGCATACATTCAAAGATGGAGAGGATGCGTAGAGCTATCGGATTTATCGTCGGTGGTAGCAATAAAAGATGGCAGGAGTACGTCAAATATTGTAAGCAAGAGGAGCCACCGGTTCGACCTTTGAAGTTATGTACAGACATGCCTATCCGTTGGAACTCTACCTACTTGATGTTGGAAAAAGTTTTGCCAATCGTGAAACAAATTACAAATTTCGTCAACCGGAAAAACTATCCAGAGGAAGTTGTCAACTATGATGATTGGGCGGTTTGTGAACTTTTTTATTCATTTCTTAAAATTTTTTATGATGCTAAATATATTAAGTGGTATTTATTATCCAACTACTAATTTAGTGTTAGATATTTTAGTTCAAATTGCTAAAATTTTGCCTCAATATAGATATGATAACATTTTAAGTGAAATTGTTTCAAGTATGGAAGAAAAATATAAGAGATATTGGTTAGATATTCCATTCTTATATGGATTAGGCCTTTTTCTAGATCCTAGGTTTAAATTATCCGTAGTTGACGGTGTAATTACTGAGTTAGGCCATTATTTAGGACATGATTATACGTCTTATTTGACTGACTTTAAACACAAATTGGATATGCTTTTTTCTTTATATGAGAACAGATACAATGGAAGTAGAAGTGGAAATGGAAGTGGAAGTGGAAGTGGAACGTCTAGGAGAGGCGATTAGGACCTTAATGCAGCCCCTCCTCAAGGATCGAGCAAGTGGGCATATGTGGAACGTGGCGGAAGCTCCAGCTCCAGCTCGTACATACATAGACCAAATGAGATGACTCGCTACCTACAGGTGGACCTGACCTTTATGACGATGAAGGAGCAACTTGACATGGATATTTTTCAATGGTGGAACCAACAAGAAAGTCAATTCCCCATTATATCCCAAATGACACGTGACATTTTATCTGTGCCGTTTTCTACAATTGCATCCGAGTCAACATTTTCAATGAGTGGTCGGATTGTTGAAGACAGAAGATGTTCTTTAACCGATGAGATGATTGAAGTGATAACGTGTTTACGGGATTGGACTCATGCAGAAAGAAGACTACAACAGCACCCTGAAGATCCCGAACTACTCGAACTCTTTAGGAATACAGATTTGAATAATGTAACTAGTGTTGACGATGAAATTGAAGATGAATAATTTAATTAAAAAAATTATTTAATTGTTTATTTGTGAGCGTGAATGTGTGAAATGTGAATATTACATTTATGTTAAAAATTAAAATTAACTATTAATTTATTATTTTTTAAAATTAATTAAATTTTTAGAAACTTACTAATCAACCTCTAAAAAATACTAAAAACCTCCTATAAAATTTCGTTTTGCCCCCAAAATATTAAAAAAATTGAGAGGGGAAAATAAAATTATCCAAACCCCTTGGGACCGGTCCTGGGCCCATGGGACCAGTCCCGATCAGGCCTAAGGCCTGGTCCGGGTCCTGGTTTTTCTCATGGGCCTAGGACCGGTCCCAGGCCCATGAGTGACTGGTCTCGCAAGGGACCAGTCCCTTGCCCACCTCTACTCCCCATCACTTTCTTTTTTCTCTCTCTCTCCCCATTGTCACTTTCTTCTTTCTTCTTTCTTCTAACACATTCGCGACTCTTTACTGTAATTTTTCTCTCTTTTTTTCTTTCTTCTAATCTTCTTCCTTACTCTTTCTCTTGTCTCCTCTTCTCTTTCTTCTTCCTTCCCCTCCCCTTACTTCTTCTTCTTTACACTGTAGATTTTAGAGTAAGTGAAGAAGAATAGAAGATGAAAATGGAAGATGCAATTTGGTTTTTTTATTCAAGATTTTAGAGTAAGTGAAGAAGAATAGAAGATGAAAATGGAAGATGCAATTTGATTTTTTTATTCAAATGAAATGGAGAATGAAACAGTGTTGCAAATTGGTTTATGAATTAGGAATATGAATTTTTTAGGATCAGATACCCAAAAGTAGCGAACCGTTTTAAGCCCCGGGCCGGTCGGACCGGCACTTTGTAGTGTTCCGCTGGTCCATTGCCGGTCCAAATAGAGATGGTGATGGGCTCGATATTTTCGGGTACCCGGCCTGGCCAGAAAAGGTCAGGCTTTACTCAGTGTTCGCGGGTTTGGTCTTAGGCTTGGGCCTGATTTTAAGGCCCGACCTCGGGTACCAACATACCTGGCCCAGCCCGACTATTTTAGTATTAATTTTACTAAATTATCTTTATACTATATATTTAATTACAAGATTATCCTACATATATATACTCATTTTTCCTAAACCCTAATCTCATCCCATTTGATAAGTATTCAAAAACAAATAAATATTTAAAAACTAAGTTTAGAATTAAAAAAAAAAAATGAAATTTATTAATATTTAAAAATTCATATTATAAAAATGGGCGGGCTTGGGCCAGGCTTGAGGTTACAAAAAACCCATCGGGCCAGGCTTGGGTTTTACCTAGCGTACCCGTGATGGGCTTGGGCCTTTGTCATGAGGTCGGGCTTGGGCCCAAGGGTACCCGATCTTGGCCCGGCCCATTGCCATCACTAGGTCCAAAATGGGTTTAATGGCATTCTCGGTTTTTATGTTAACTTGGACCGGAGTAAAGTCTGGCTCCCAATCGAACTGGTCGGACCGGGTTTTAAACTAGAGGATGAAACTCATTTACAAATTGACCAATTATGAAAGTTTGTGAAATTGGATTGTAGGCTCTGTTTTAAAAATCGGACCGGACCGGGACCCAACAGCATCTCTGGTTCGGTTCAGGTCTTAGTAGAGATGGCAATGAGCTCGATATTTTCGGGTACCCGGCCTAGCCCGACCCGAAAAGGTCGAGCTTTACCCGGTGTTCGCGGGTTTGGGCTTAGGCCTGGGCCTGATTTTAAGGCTTGGCCTCGGGTACGGGCTGGGCTTGGGTATGTCTTCAGGCCCGGCCCGGCCCAACTATTTTAGTATTAATTTTACTAAATTATCTTTATACTATATATTTAATTACAAGATTATCCTACATATATATACCCATTTTTCCCAAACCCTAATCTCATCCCATTTGATAAGTATTCAAAAACAAATAAAAATTTAAAACCTATGTTTAGAATTAAAAAAAAAAAAATGAAATTTATGAATATTTAAAAATTCATATTATAAAAATGGATGGGCTTGGGCCAGGCCTGAGGTTACAAAAAACCCATCGGGACGGGCTCGGGCCGAGCTTGGGCCTTTGTCATGAGGTCGGGCTTGGGCTTGGGCCCAGGGGTACCCGGTCTTGGCCCGGTCCATTGCCATCACTAAGAGCATCTTAGAGGGGTTTTTGTAATATTTCAAAATTATAAGGGTTACTTTGTAATTTTATAGGGATGTTTTGAAGATGGGTCAAAAGTTTAGGGATTAATTAAACTTTTATGGCATATTTGAAAAAAATAAAAATTTTAAAGACTAATTTAAACTTTTTTAGGAAAATTTTTGTAATATATTAAAATTTAAAGGATTAATATGTGATTTTTTAAAAATAAAATTGTCGCTGACATCATTAGTCCAACTAATCGGTCCAATCAGTTGGACTGGTTAACCCATGACTCGGGCAGCAAAATGGATTACCCTCTGATCCGGATTTTAAAACAATGATTGTAAGTATAATACTACCGTTATTAAAATTATGTTCTTTTTAACTCGGTTGTTTCTTTCTGTTGAACATTTAATATTCCACATTTTTACAAAAACTTTTTAAGGCAATAAAATTGGTGCTTGTAAGCATCAGTTCTTTTTTGCTACAGAACCATATTATATTATGCAGATTCCAAATATACAATTAGTATACAGACCCCCCCAAAAAAAAAACCTCTTAGAGCTTCTCATGGATATGCAACATGTGTAAACGTTCCAAATTCTACTTCCGGCTGTTAAGAGATTTGCTATGTTTTGCAGCCAGAGCTATGGCTTTGGCACTGGTGCTCCCCATCATCCACTCTCTCTCAGCACGCCGTTGATGTTGCCTTGCGTTCTTAGCACGTTTTGGTGCCAGGCGTGTGTCCCTTTCCACAAAAGCAAGTCTAAACTTTTCTGCCATGGACAACTCATTGGGGTTCGAAACAAGAGATGCAACCTTCGGTCCAAGTCCACGCACTGCCCATGTTATGGGATTAATGTCCTTGACATATGGCTCGTCCAATACAATATCTGGAAATGCTTCCCTCGGAACTTCAAATCCTCTGAAACCAAATGGTGATGGCTTTGGATTTACCATAATACGTGGGCATTCTGTGGACAACATCTCCAATGAATCGTTATCAATCTTTGGCTGAAAAAAAAGGGGCAAGGAGTGAGTTTCCAGAGAAAAAAAATATTAGAAAAGGAGTGCAACAGATCCCAGGAATCTCCATACCCACACAAGCCATCGCAATGACTGTGCACCATGACCAATCTCTGTAGTAATAAGTTCCTCCCAGGAATCTCCCTCCACATCATTCAGGCTTGGTTTTAATATACTCAAGCATCTTCGTGCAGTGTACTCACTCCTTGGGGATCCTCTGCAACATTAACTTTGGTTCATAGCCTGTTGTACAATTTTTATCCTAGTCAAAAATCCCAATACCAAGTCCTAGGCCGGCTAAATGACACGAGATAGAATAAACATGGGAAAGATATTGAAAGTTAAATGATTAACAAATTTAAATACCATTTATTTTCCAAGAATCTGAGTCATTCAATATTTTATGACAATTTAACAAAGCTAGGAGCGTGTACTTACATGCAAACTGAGGCACAGCAAACGCAAATCTGAAATCTTACTAACTACATAAAAATTTAAAGTAATGCTAACACTCTTGTAATATACATTATACTTGGTTGTCTATTCATACAAACGTTTTTTTCCATTAGTTTTCATTCCAGCAATCTACTCATTTTGAAAGTATAAAGTAAGAAGCCTATCAAAGATTAGGTAGTGATAATGACATTCTCTAATCCCACTGTTTCCCTGCCAAAGAAGCAACCAGAAACAAAGCATTAGGATACTTTATGTTCTTATTTTCGGACTAATATAAAACTGTTACAGTCTTGGAGAGCAAAGGGTATGCAAAAGACAGAATATCTTCATATTGAAAAGCTTGCAAGTCGACACATTATATAAATTTAATTCAAAGCTTTTATTTTGTTTTTAGAAAAGACCGTACCCACATCTCAGTGTCTCCAGTGAGTGGCAGTACTGCACGAGTTCAGAAACACCAGCAGCAGTAATATTGTCGCAGCGGCTGCATTAAAAATGCATCATTATAATTGGAGATTTCCAAAACCAGAATGGAATAGGAGAACATATGAAATTTAGGAGCCTAGCATTAGTTAGGAATATCAATTTCTCCTTTAGTCAAACAGCATCATGAAAATTATGAAGTAGAAAATATAGGTCAATATATAATTTCTTCCTCTTTAGTGTTGCAACCTTCTAACTTCTCCCTAGGATAACTTAAATTAAGAAATAAAAATGATAAAATTTTGTACCTTATATCCACTGCTCTTAAAGATTTACACATTTCAGCCACTTTCCCTAAACCAGAATCAGAAACATCCGAACCAGATATATCAAGAATTTCCCAGGAACTGTCAGCTAAAGAAATAATAACATCGTCCGATAGTAACTTTCTTCTCCGGGCAATTGCAGCAATTGCTATCTGACACTCAAATACATGGATTTAAACGTTAGAAAAAGTGAAACAATCATTTCCCAGATGGGAATTCAAATGTAAAAGTTATGTCATAATGGCCAGATACATAGCATCAATCTAACTATCTAAGCCTAGTCAATGAATCCCAATATACAAAACCGATCTAAACCCTTGCATGCTCATTCCCACTCTTCACATGTATAACAAAAATACTATACTGAACACAAAAAATAAGGATTCCCAAAAAGAAAAATATGTACTTCACGACCTTAATATCTGCCGGAAAGCTAGCTGCAATCTCACCCAAATCCTCTATAATATCCTCCAAATGCTTGCCAACAACTCCAAGACACAACCCAACTAAACTTGGAGGCTTTGCCTTCTCTCGAGACGATCCTGTTCTCGAAAAATAAGTTAAAAAAGTTAAACCCACCTCTAAAATCTCATAAAAAAATATACAAATTCCACAATTAGTATTATCTTTAGCTGCATCATTCAACTGCGAGATATTTCAATTCAGCTGAAATCTCGAAGTTTCCGGGAAACCCCAAAACATCATTATTCTTCCCTTTCAGCTATTTCCCTTCACTTTCTCACCAACCAATTAGAAAACACCAATCAGCCTCAATACTTACAGAGAGAGAGGGGATGAGACTTACTGGGATTTAAATGGGGTTTCTTCAAGGGATTTCTGGGATTTTTATCGAGTTTGTTCAACGAATCACTGGGATTCAAATCAAGTTTCTTCAAGGAGCTCCTTATATCCTTCGAAACTCGGTTTATTTCCATAAAAATTATAACTTTAAAGCCAAAAAAAAAAATCAATAACCAGTTTTGTGGATTCCGATTCTGAATTTTCAGCTTGAACTGACAAAGCTCGACGTTACAAAATTTTGCCCCATTTAAAGGATTTGGGAGTTCTCATGTAATTACTAGAAAGCCCTCATGATCTTGATAATATGCATGACTTATTTAAATAAAAAACTTTAGGGGCATTTTAGTAAACTAAACACCCTTCTTTCTGTTCATGCTTGAATTGAAATTCAAGTTTCCAAAAGGCCGGCCTTTTGTTTTGGTTGAGTTTCACTTCACAAATCACAGTGTCCACTTTCATCTGTCGCCCGAAACAACCACCGAAAACGGCATCGTTTTCTTCCTCAAATGGTGAAGAGTTTACCAGGAGGAGACCAAAATCTCCCGGCAGACGTCAGCCAAGTGATTGATCTGCTGGAACGCCACTGCTTGGCTCCTGATGGCTCTCTCGTTTCCAAATCCACCTTCTACGATCTCCAACTTGTACATTCTCTCTTCCTTACCTTAATTCATCTGTTCAATTCACTGAATTTTAAAATTTTAAGCATTTTTTTTTAAATATTTTTGCAGGCGAGAGAGGAAATGTCTAGAGAGAGATTGCGGTATTTAGAAGCCATGGTAATGTGATTTAATTTTAACTTAAATTTCTCAACGGTGTCTTTTTTTTTTTTTTTTTCGCATATTAGAAATACCCTTTTGTTTGTTTTTGTTGTAGCTGATGTCTTGTGAAGCACTTGATAAAAAGTAAAAACTGTGTGCATTTGTTAGATTAGCTTATGGGTTTTTTGTTTGTAGTTGAGATGGTGATTTTATGTGATAATGAGTGGTTTTGAAATGGGAATTTTTTTTGGGTGTTGTGGCGGGGGTTAATGTAGGCGATTTACTGTGAAGCGATTGCTATGGTGGAGGGATATCAACAGGGTGTTTCGGTTGCTAATCTTGGAGGCATTCGTGATGTTCAGGGACTATACTCGCAACTTGGTTTGAAGAACTCTCCTCAGGTTTTAATTTCTACAATTGGGTTCTTCGTTTATATCCGTTTGAAATTTGATTTTACCTGTGCTTGATACTATGGTAATAGTGTTGGTAGTGGAGTGGAGAGCTGTGGCTTTGAGATTTTTTTTTCTTTGATTCAAAATTTTTACATTTTAGGTTTATGAAACTCTAGAGCACAGGTTGGTTGTTGCAGAAGCAGCACAAAGGCTGAGGCTTCCACTTATATCAAAAGATGGTGAAATTCTTGAAGAAGAAATTGAAAAGTGGAGTACAATGTCACGTAGTTCGCTTGATAGTACAAGCACCAGTGTCACAATCAACTCAAGCTCTACTTCAATGAATTATACCAATAGTTTGGTGAACAGTGCCCTTAGCTCTAATGATGCCGAACCTGGAGTTGGTGGTGTTCCTAATCGCTTTCTTGGCATAACCCCTGCTTATTTGTGGCAATCTCAGCTCCAACAAACACCATTGTCCGTGGTATGATAATCCCATGCAATAATAAATATAAAGTTTTCGTAATTGGTTCCTGTTGCAAAGGAATCATAACCTCTTATTTGCATTTTTCTCTTTATTTGATTTATTTTCTTCTAGCATACTTAATTTTCAGATGAATTTATGTAAAGTCAAAATTTTTATTAGAAGATATGTCATATCCGAAACTTTCTTGTGAAGCTGTGACTTTGATATTGTAGGATACGACAGAATATCAGCTATCTGTTTGTCGTGAGATTGAGGCACGACTAAAAGCTAAATGTGATAAGTTAGCGGATGCCTTCATCGATGACATTGGTAGTGTCATATATCTCACCTCTTTTTTTCTTTTCCTTTTAATGAGATGTTTGAATGATATGTGGTGTCTCTTTGTGATATACTAATGTCGACAGTTATTTATCCTTTGTAACATTCTGTGAATAAACATATTTTCCATCTTTAATTTGTGGAATAGACGGTAGACATGAGTGTTTAACTGTTTGTGATAAGGTAATTGATGACCAAATCAGTTGTGGTTGTAATAATTGGCTGATGTTCTGTGTGGGAAATGATTGAGGGGAGCGTAACTGACCTTGAAGCATATGCATGTCTAATACTCAAAACCTGTGGTTAAACAAGCTGCTGCGCAATGTTAAATGGCCTCTGTATGAAGTGGTTATAAGCCTAATGTTATGTTTCTTTTCCTTGTTGCAGATTCATCTTCTGGTAGTCATACATCAAGTGCTCGTCTTCCAGAAAGGTTTGAGTTTCTCTGAGTCGATTTCTTTTACTGCATTCCTTGGCCTGAAACTGTTTATTGTTCATGTGTTTTATACTACCAACTTGTTTTATTTTTGACATGATCCCTATGGAATTGATCTCTTATTCATGAAACTTTCTGATTTTGTTTTTTGTTTTTCAAAACTGAATATACTGACTTAGATGTAGTACTACGTTTCATTTGATCAGGGTTAAGATGATAATTGAAGAGATTGAAAGGGAGGAAGCGGCTTTGCGTGAGGACCTCTACTCAGCAGATAGAAAATTTGCTGAATATTACAATGTGGGTGAAGGGGAGCTTATATATTTAATTTTATCTTTAAAATGATCTTTATATTAGCAAAAGTTTTGCTTGTATTATATGATATTATGTTTTTAAGTGGCGATTTTTCTTGTGTGTGACTTGTAACGTAATTTTATTTTCTGTCTTGGGAAGGTCTTAGAACAAATACTTGGAGTGCTCATTAAACTTGTCAAAGATTTGAAGTTGCAACATCAACACAAATATGTAAGGACTCCACCTTGTAAATATACAGAAAATGATATGCATCAACATTTTATTGTTGATTCTGATTTCTTTTTATCATTCTTTCATTCCTCCAACTGACCTCAAAATTTACTTGCTGAATATTGTATAGGATGAACTTCAAAAAACTTGGCTGTGTAAACGGTGTGAGACCATGAGTGCAAAATTAAGGTTAGTTTCCATTGTTGCTGATTTTGGGTCAATTCTTGTGCCAATAGAGCTGCATGGCTTTTCATTGATTAAATCAGTTCATCAATGATTTGCATAATGTGATGAAAACAAGTTATGGATAATTTGTTTCTTGTAGAGGGGTTAATGTGGCAGTAGTTTTATGTTTTTTTTTTATTAGTGATTGTAATATGTTTGTTCATCTTCTTAGGGTTCTGGAGCATGTTCTCCTCCTTGGAACTTATACTCAGGAATCAATACCAGCTCTACATAAAATAAGGTACTTAAACAATGACACTCACCATTGTTAATCTGTGGTTCTTTTTCAGGATTTTGATCAGTCTTGTGCTTTTGTTCCAGGAAATATCTTGTTGAGGCTACAGAAGAAGCTTCAGTTGCATATAATAAAGCGGTTTGTTCTGTTTCTTATGTTACAATGTCTTAAAAGAATTTTTTTTTATGCTTCTGCATTTGCTTTGTGATCATTACAAGTCGTGGCTTGAGACTTTTGTTATGTGGTTGCATACAAGTATTTGTCATGCCAACTCTTGGCTTGAGATTTTTGTTAATATAATTTCTCTTTAGGTTCTCTATCCTGTTCTAGGGTTTAATCATTGATCTACATTTCAACTTCTTACCAGGTTACACGTCTTCGTGAGTATCAAGGTGTTGATCCTCGCTTTGATAATATTGCAAGGCAGTACCATGACATTGTAAAGGTAATATCAGCTTGTAATCAGTATATTCACAATCAGTTCCTGCAAGTGACTCATATTGACATTTATTGCAGAAACTGGAAAATATGCAATGGACGATCCACCAAGTCGAGATGGACCTCAAACATTTACCAGATGCCCCAAGCAGTTAAAATTTTGGTTTGTATTTTCATTTTATTCTTTGATGTTTATGATCTTTTGTAGTAATTCAACTAAGTAACCGTTGCACGTATACACAACATGCTATTCTTCCCCAACTCAGCTTGGTGCTTGTTTTGTTCAAGCCATTTGAAATGCATGTAAAAAACATATTGGTTTTGTTGTAAACAGCTGGTTGAAGGTGTTTGTGTAAATCACTTCTTTATAATCGATTGGTTGGTTGTGACAAGATCTGCTCCTAAACTGTCAAGATGCGTTTTGGGTTGTAAGGCTCAAAGGCGAAAACGTGATGGATTATGTATTCAAAGCAGACATTGTCTCTTGATTGATAGGTTATATAGAACTAGTATATCGAAGATATATCACATCATGACGCATGATAGAAAGATGCCTTTTATTGATCGATCGATTGGATTTCCAATACACACCTCTCTTGAATGATCGGTCATATAGAATGAATATATTGAAGATATATCACATTATGATGGATTGATTTTATTTCCAATATATTACAGAAAATACAAGTTTGGATCTTCCATTTTTATATTGTAACTATTAAAGAGCTTTTGAATATCAACTTTTTCTTCATATGAACTAACCGGGGGTGAAAACTTGGCAAAGTTGCTTGTTAGGTCCTGAGTTGACCGGTTTGATCGGTTGGTGAATCTGAGAGTTTAAAAGTTTAAAATTAAGCAAATACACTCATGAAATTTGTCAAGTCCTTATAAGTTTGAAATTTAGCAAACACACATCAAATACAATTCGGCAATTGATTGGTTGGTTGGTTGTGGTAATTGATAACACACTAAATGCAATATCAATATTCCTTGAGCCATTCCGTAGAAAATCTATCCAAGATTTGGTCGAAATCGGTTTGATTTAAGTTAGATCTCACCACCGTCGGCGTTGATAATCCACTCCAGATCTCACCATTGTATGTGTTGACAACCCAACTCATCACCATGAAAATACTCCTCTCAATCTCCTAACCAAAACCCATCTCACCTCACCTCCGTTCTCCTTGCTAATCGTTGGTAACAACTAGTTGCTGCTGCTGTAGGTTTTTTTTTCAATTTTTGATCAATTTACTCACCGAAAATCACCTTCGTTGCTACCATTTCACTCACCGGCCTTTCCTCTTCAAAACCCTCAACCTCCCAACTTTCAACTGTATGTCGATCATCATCTCAATTTTTAGGGTTTTTGGTGAATAAGAAAATCGGTAATTCAATACGGTGAAGGCCTTGGTCTCAGTGGAACCGATTTAACTGATCGGATCAAGCCGAGTTTCAAAACAATGATAGGAGGAAACCAGGTTATATACAACACCCAATTGAAACATAACACAAAAGACTTGCATTTCTTTTTGGCCTTAAATCTCAAATATAATTGAACAGGTCCATTGTAGAAGAACGTCCCAGATAATATGCCAGCTGGACCTGTACGCACATAGACAATTTTAGACGTTGGATGAATGTTCTTTTCCTTTCTGGATTCTTCTTCCACTCATGCTCTGCCACGTAAGGCCCATTCAAGCCGCATACAATTCCGTGGAACCCAATTCTTCTTTAGCGTGTTAGAATAAATTAATCCTAATTACAATACGAAAAACTCAACATCCACCATCCAATTTGAATATTCTTCATCATTTAACCGTCCACGTGGCACCTACTGGTTTTTTTTAATCCGAGTCGGCCAAGAAGGACGCCCAACCGACTTCTGTCCTCTATATATTCTCTCTCTGTGTCTCAAATCATTTTTAATCGTGTAACAGAGAAGCTAAAATCTCAAGTTTCAGACTTTCAAGGTTAGCTCTCTTTGAAATTGTAATTTAACATGTGGGTTTAATTGTTTTGTTCTTTTCTTGATAGAATTCGTTAGTTCTTCATATATTTCTTACTTTAAGGTTTTATGTAACTGGGTTCCGATCAGTTCTGGGTTTTGCTTTGAACTTGATTATGCAATAGAACCAGAGAATTCTTTCTTTCTGTCGTTTTTCTCAAAGCCATGCATATGCAAGCTTGGTTACTTTCTCTTTTGTTATGTTTGGTGTGGGTTTAGAATTTATTACCCTTAATTTAATCGAACCGGCTTTTACTGGAATTTCTTGTGTTCTTTTGAACATTATTTCCGAGTTTCTTCATAGCAAAAAGTTAAATCTTCTGATTATTTGGAAAACTGGGTTCAAAAGAATCCTGGTTTTTTCATGGTAGAAACCAATCAAAGCCTGAAGGTAGTTTTTGCAAGACATACGCAAGTTTGGTGGATATTTCTCTTTTTCAAATGATTCGATTGAATTGTAAAATTATATTCTTGTTGTTCTTTGTTGAACGTGATTTCTGAAACATCTATAAATAGATTTGATTAATAATATGATATTTCTGTTTCTTTCAAGATTATTATAGCCTAACAAGTTGTTTTTGTGTTAAATATTATAGCAACAGATACAGAGTTTTCAAGTTTTCAGCAAGCAAAGTTCATGGTTGACATAGACGTTCAGATCCCATCATCCTTCGATCCATTCGCCGAGACCAAGAGTTCTGCTAATTCCAAAGGTGGTTATGTTCATCTCCGAGTTCAGCAGAGGAATGGCAAGAAAAGCATAACCACAGTTGAAGGATTGAACCAGAATTTCAGCTACTCTAAGATCCTCAAAGACCTCAAGAAAGAGTTCTGTTGTAATGGGAATGTTGTCCAGGACAAAAATCTTGGCAAGGTGATCCAACTCCAGGGCGATCAGCGCACCAATGTTATGAACTTCCTTATCAAAGAAAAGCTTGTGGACAAGAACCAGATCAAAGTTCATGGTTTTTAAGGAAGTGGGGTTGTGTGATCTGGAGATTATTATACTATTTTCAGGGTGAATTTGTTGAGTTTGTTTCATTTTCCTTTTTTTTTTTTCTTTTTGTGTGGGGTGAATTTAGATTTGGGTTTGGATACTAGACTGTTGAAGTTTGATTAATCATGGAAATAAAAGTAATAGATGTTTCATTGAAGTTTGGTTCCCATATTCTTTCCCTGTTCTCTCATTTGCTAATCATCATGTTTGGAGGGATCATGAATAGAAATATGATAATGAATTGTTGTTTTGAAAATGTTGATAGATTACTTTCAGATTGGCATTCAAGTGGGATTTTAGATCCTTTATGACAGAAAACTAATACTTGTTGTGGGTGGTGGATTTCTACCAATTCAGCACATAGCCAATGCAAGTTTTTTACACCCTTAAAAAAATTATCACAGCACTAATTAGCTTGATTGTCTTGCAGGGTTGGGGAATTCAAAGTGTGATACAGAACACCACTAATTAGCAACATTTACCACTCTGTTATTCTATTCACCATTTAATATATTCTTGTCCCAAAATATGCCTAATTGACTAAGTCATTGAACAATATTTAGGAATGAGATTCTGACTTTCTGGCCTCGCATTTCAGAGTAAAAAGTTGATATTCTTTCTTATCAAAGTACTCAAGTTTGATTACTCTTTCAACTTCCTTTTTCCTTTAGCATATATCATCTATACACCGATTTCAGTTTAGTGCAATTACACAAGTTGGCAACGTGACACATAGTTTCTGAGGAAGTAAAATTCTAAAAGAAAAAACTTCATCACCACCGTCCACTTGTCAGTAAGTCAAATATTCTTAATCTGAGGAAGCACAAACGTCCTCCTCTATACGTAAGTCCTGCAATTAATTCTTGTAGTATCATCACTAGAAAGTGTCTCCAAGGTAGCCATCTCTAAACCTTAAAATCCTTCTTTGTCTTCCTTCAGCTTATTGGCTTTTGTCTTCTTACTTGTTTTCATTGTTTCAAATCCATACCCGACTTTCGTGTATGACGTTGAGAAAAATTATAAAATTTTGTAAACTTTGATAATTTTGTCGAAGGAGATTTTCTTTTTCATTAAGAATTGTATTAAGAGCATTCTAATTACAATACACCATAACTCGTGTTATGAATCTTATTAACTTTGAGTTCTGATCTGAGTTTTACAAGATTGTGGACACAATTGCATCGAGGGAACAAGAATTGATAATTACAAGCAATCTTCGTATATAATATGAGCTGAAAGTAAATATACTCCCCCTTAAAGCAAATTTCACTTCAAACATCAGTATGCCTCTGGAAAGAACAGAGGAAAACATGAACAAAATGAAGATGATCGTAACTAATTACACACAAATTTGCACTTGGTAAAGCAAAAACAATCAAAATGTAAGGCCTCATACGTCAAATTTGAAGATATCCATAATGAAGTTGATGGAAAGAAGGTATTCTGAAAGAAAAATGAATGTCCACTGAAGGGCTTTGAGTCGTTTACGTCCCAGATTTTTTTACAAGAACTTTTGGGTTTCTTAAAGAAAATACCATGCATTGATTTAGAAAAGTTTGGCTTGCGGTTGGGTGGTTCCACTTCTCATCATTGCACAGAATTCATCATAGTTGATTCTACCATCCTGTAAAAATAGAGACATGAGAACCGATGTATATAGTAATAGAAAAAAAAAATTTGTTTCAAAAGGTAAAGAGGTTTACATTATCTGTGTCAACTTCAGATATTATTTCTTTGATTGTGGCATCATCCCCCATTCCGTACTCTTTCATGGCTGATTCTAATTCGTCTACCGTGATAAACCTGTGCAGGTATTCAGAAAAAAAAAAAAAAAAAAAAAGGCCTCAGTATTTTGAATCGTGACACACCCCTTCCACTTAAGCAAATGACAGGTAGTTCCACAGTTTTGTGTCTCAAATATTGCTAAACTCTAGACATACGGTTGCATGTTATCCATATCCCCCCATTCAACACATTTGCTGTTATCCGGATATACTAAAAGTGGGCATAGATGTCAACCTCCCTAGTCCCTAGTAGACCTCCAAAACTTAATATTTAGTAATGGGCGGATTGGTGACAAATATTTGCAGTTTGTGATTTGATTTTAAGTGTAAAGGAGCATGACGACAAAAGCTCAATTTGGTCATAGTGTATAAAAAGCACGATAGTGTTCTTCCTCATTCTAAAGAAATTCTAAGTCCAGAAAATTTAGAACCATAAACTTACCCGCTATTATCCTTATCAAAGTGTTGAAAAGCTTTGTAAAGATGTTCATCTCTTTCTAGCCGGTGTCTGTGCATTGTGGCAGTAATAAATTCAATGTAGTCAATGGTCCCATTTCCATCCACATCAGCCTGAAATGCCGCCAAAAATATAAGTTGAGTAGAACACAAAACAAACAATGATCCCAAAAATGAAGAGTTTAATAAATACTCACAGCTTCCATGAGCTGCTTGACTTCAGCCTCCGTAAGCTTTGATCCAAGTCGAGATAATCCTTCCTTCAATTCATCGTAGGTAATTGTGCCACTGTTGTCAGTGTCCAGGTTTGTAAACATTGACTTGAGCCCTTGGATCTCGTCAGTAGAAAGATTTTCCGCAATGACCTATAATTATTTCATGATTCACCCAGTTTAATCATCAGATAGCTATGATAGTCTATAGAGCGCAACAAACACCAAAATGTAAAAATAATGATGAAGAATTGGAAAAAAAACATTAGATCCAACACTCTCTCATAGTTTACATGGTCTTATATTATTCTGTTTAAAATACGATGAAACCACATATGTAGATTCTTAGAATTACCTTCAGTGCAAGTTTCTTTAGTTTGTTCATTGCCCTGAATTGCTTCATCCTAGAAAGGACTGCACTATCTATTGGCTTGTCTGATGCATTTCCACCTTCTCTAATCCATGGGTGCTCTGCACAAGCCACACAATTTTGAACTAGTTCAGAAGCAAGATAATCAGCATAATCACAGTGTCATCATGGTTCGTTATAAGGAGATGAAGCATGATAGTTAAGGGAATCTCACAAGATCTTTTTATGAAATTGATTATAATTCTGAAACATGTCAGTAATGACATACCTAGAACTTGAGCAGAAGTAATCCGCTTTTTTGGGTCTGCGGTAAGCATCCTACGCACCAAGTCCTTGGCACTGTTTGATATACTTGGCCATGGTTTACTATTAAAGTCAATTTCGCCTTGCAATATAGCATCAAATATTCCCTTCTCCGTTTCTGCAGTATACATCATTACTTGTTCAGAGATCAGCTTCATACTTACTTAACTCATTGATAATAAACAAGTACGTCAGTCAAAGGTGACTTAATAAAGTGAAAAGAGAACTTATAGGATGAAAAATGAATATTTTTACCTGCCCAAAATGGAGGTACACCACTGAGCAAAATGTACAACATAACTCCTGCACTCCAAATGTCTATTTCTTTCCCATATTTCCGGCGTAAAACTTCGGGGGCAACATAGTAAGCACTCCCTACTATATCCCGATAAACCTTTCCTGGAAAGTAGGACAAGAGAGAATCATGTGCATTAACAGCTATTTCACAATGTGCCTCTTTCATCAACTAAAGGCTAAAAGATATATACCTCTGTGTCTGCTCCAGGGCGATCAGCGCACCAATGTTATGAACTTCCTTATCAAAGAAAAGCTTGTGGACAAGAACCAGATCAAAGTTCATGGTTTTTAAGGAAGTGGGGTTGTGTGATCTGGAGATTATTATACTATTTTCAGGGTGAATTTGTTGAGTTTGTTTCATTTTCCTTTTTTTTTTTTTTTCTTTTTGTGTGGGGTGAATTTAGATTTGGGTTTGGATACTAGACTGTTGAAGTTTGATTAATCATGGAAATAAAAGTAATAGATGTTTCATTGAAGTTTGGTTCCCATATTCTTTCCCTGTTCTCTCATTTGCTAATCATCATGTTTGGAGGGATCATGAATAGAAATATGATAATGAATTGTTGTTTTGAAAATGTTGATAGATTACTTTCAGATTGGCATTCAAGTGGGATTTTAGGTCCTTTATGACAGAAAACTAATACTTGTTGTGGGTGGTGGATTTCTACCAATTCAGCACATAGCCAATGCAAGTTTTTTACACCCTTAAAAAAATTATCACAGCACTAATTAGCTTGATTGTCTTGCACGGTTGGGGAATTCAAAGTGTGATACAGAACACCACTAATTAGCAACATTTACCCCTCTGTTATTCTATTCACCATTTAATATATTCTTGTCCCAAAATATGCCTAATTGACTAAGTCATTGAACAATATTTAGGAATGAGATTCTGACTTTCTGGCCTCGCATTTCAGAGTAAAAAGTTGATATTCTTTCTTATCAAAGTACTCAAGTTTGATTACTCTTTCAACTTCCTTTTTCCTTTAGCATATATCATCTATACACCGATTTCAGTTTAGTGCAATTACACAAGTTGGCAACGTGACACATAGTTTCTGAGGAAGTAAAATTCTAAAAGAAAAAACTTCATCACCACCGTCCACTTGTCAGTAAGTCAAATATTCTTAATCTGAGGAAGCACAAACGTCCTCCTCTATACGTAAGTCCTGCAATTAATTCTTGTAGTATCATCACTAGAAAGTGTCTCCAAGGTAGCCATCTCTAAACCTTAAAATCCTTCTTTGTCTTCCTTCAGCTTATTGGCTTTTGTCTTCTTACTTGTTTTCATTGTTTCAAATCCATACCCGACTTTCGTGTATGACGTTGAGAAAAATTATAAAATTTTGTAAACTTTGATAATTTTGTCGAAGGAGATTTTCTTTTTCATTAAGAATTGTATTAAGAGCATTCTAATTACAATACACCATAACTCGTGTTATGAATCTTATTAACTTTGAGTTCTGATCTGAGTTTTACAAGATTGTGGACACAATTGCATCGAGGGAACAAGAATTGATAATTACAAGCAATCTTCGTATATAATATGAGCTGAAAGTAAATATACTCCCCCTTAAAGCAAATTTCACTTCAAACATCAGTATGCCTCTGGAAAGAACAGAGGAAAACATGAACAAAATGAAGATGATCGTAACTAATTACACACAAATTTGCACTTGGTAAAGCAAAAACAATCAAAATGTAAGGCCTCATACGTCAAATTTGAAGATATCCATAATGAAGTTGATGGAAAGAAGGTATTCTGAAAGAAAAATGAATGTCCACTGAAGGGCTTTGAGTCGTTTATGTCCCAGATTTTTTTACAAGAACTTTTGGGTTTCTTAAAGAAAATACCATGCATTGATTTAGAAAAGTTTGGCTTGCGGTTGGGTGGTTCCACTTCTCATCATTGCACAGAATTCGTCATAGTTGATTCTACCATCCTGTAAAAACAGAGACATGAGAACCGATGTATATAGTAATAGAAAAAAAAAATTTGTTTCAAAAGGTAAAGAGGTTTACATTATCTGTGTCAACTTCAGATATTATTTCTTTGATTGTGGCATCATCCCCCATTCCGTACTCTTTCATGGCTGATTCTAATTCGTCTACCGTGATAAACCTGTGCAGGTATTCAGAAAAAAAAAAAAAAAAAAAAAGGCCTCAGTATTTTGAATCGTGACACACCCCTTCCACTTAAGCAAATGACAGGTAGTTCCACAGTTTTGTGTCTCAAATATTGCTAAACTCTAGACATACGGTTGCATGTTATCCATATCCCCCCATTCAACACATTTGCTGTTATCCGGATATACTAAAAGTGGGCATAGATGTCAACCTCCCTAGTCCCTAGTAGACCTCCAAAACTTAATATTTAGTAATGGGCGGATTGGTGACAAATATTTGCAGTTTGTGATTTGATTTTAAGTGTAAAGGAGCATGACGACAAAAGCTCAATTTGGTCATAGTGTATAAAAAGCACGATAGTGTTCTTCCTCATTCTAAAGAAATTCTAAGTCCAGAAAATTTAGAACCATAAACTTACCCGCTATTATCCTTATCAAAATGTTGAAAAGCTTTGTAAAGATGTTCATCTCTTTCTAGCCGGTGTCTGTGCATTGTGGCAGTAATAAATTCAATGTAGTCAATGGTCCCATTTCCATCCACATCAGCCTAAAATGCCACCAAAAATATAAGTTGAGTAGAACACAAAACAAACAATGATCCCAAAAATGAAGAGTTTAATAAATACTCACAGCTTCCATGAGCTGCTTGACTTCAGCCTCTGTAAGCTTTGATCCAAGTCGAGATAATCCTTCCTTCAATTCATCGTAGGTAATTGTGCCACTGTTGTCAGTGTCCAGGTTTGTAAACATTGACTTGAGCCCTTGGATCTCGTCAGTAGAAAGATTTTCCGCAATGACCTATAATTATTTCATGATTCACCCAGTTTAATCATCAGAGAGCTATGATAGTCTATAGAGCGCAACAAACACCAAAATGTAAAAATAATGATGAAGAATTGGAAAAAAAACATTAGATCCAACACTCTCTCATAGTTTACATGGTCTTATATTATTCTGTTTAAAATACGATGAAACCACATATGTAGATTCTTAGAATTACCTTCAGTGCAAGTTTCTTTAGTTTGTTCATTGCCCTGAATTGCTTCATCCTAGAAAGGACTGCACTATCTATTGGCTTGTCTGATGCATTTCCACCTTCTCTAATCCATGGGTGCTCTGCACAAGCCACACAATTTTGAACTAGTTCAGAAGCAAGATAATCAGCATAATCACAGTGTCATCATGGTTCGTTATAAGGAGATGAAGCATGATAGTTAAGGGAATCTCACAAGATCTTTTTATGAAATTGATTATAATTCTGAAACATGTCAGTAATGACATACCTAGAACTTGAGCAGAAGTAATCCGCTTTTTTGGGTCCGCTGTAAGCATCCTACGCACCAAGTCCTTGGCACTGTTTGATATACTTGGCCATGGTTTACTATTAAAGTCAATTTCGCCTTGCAATATAGCATCAAATATTCCCTTCTCCGTTTCTGCAGTATACATCATTACTTGTTCAGAGATCAGCTTCATACTTACTTAACTCATTGATAATAAACAAGTACGTCAGTCAAAGGTGACTTAATAAAGTGAAAAGAGAACTTATAGGATGAAAAATGATATTTTTACCTGCCCAAAATGGAGGTACACCACTGAGCAAAATGTACAACATAACTCCTGCACTCCAAACGTCTATTTCTTTCCCATATTTCCGGCGTAAAACTTCTGGGGCAACATAGTAAGCACTCCCTACTATATCCCGATAAACCTTTCCTGGAAAGTAGGACAAGAGAGAATCATGTGCATTAACAGCTATTTCACAATGTGCCTCTTTCATCAACTAAAGGCTAAAAGATACCAAACACGCTACAAACATAAACAACATAATAAAAGAATTCCCTAGCATGAGAGAAGAGGTAACAAAGTGTTAGTATTACAGCAGATGAAAGTCACATTGGAGTTCAATCACTTATGTGAAGAAGGTAAAGGAAGTATCAATTTGCAAACATCAAATAGTGAATGACTCTTCTGTGCCATTTCACCCATTTGTTCATATGATATGATCATGTAGCAACTTTCTCTTATCCATATATAAATTTACAGTTTTGGCGCCTGTTGCACCAAAAATTGTTTAATAACTGATGCATTAACCAAAAACAAACTAAAATCAAAATGTAACAAAACCAAATTTCAATTTGCATTCCTGAACAACAAAAGCTTTACCTGCAATGCCAGTTTTCTTTTACCTTTATCAATGAAGTCATGACACACCTATATACCATATGACTCCTCTTTTAATTTTTCAAACCATATTTAATTGAGCTAATCGATGAACCAGCAAATCAAAAGATTCAAAAAGCTGCCTTTGGCAGGAAGGAATCAAATTGTCAATAACTTACACGACACGAAACAAGCATCCACAGGCAAAAATGTTCCATATAATAAACACATACACATAAAAACTCCTGAAATTTAAGTCACTAACCAATTTTGTTAATTCAAATGATCAAGTATAATGTAAAAAATAAAGAAATTTACCCTCTTCAATGAACACCGACAATCCAAAATCTGTAGCCTTCAAAAGCGCATTCTCATCCTTGCTAGACAACAAGAAATTCTCAGGCTTAAGGTCTCTATGCATCACCCCCATAAAATGACAAATATGCACAACATTCACTATACTTCTACATATTGAAGCTGCAGCTCTCTCACTGTAATGCCCCTTAGCAATGATCCTATCAAAAAGCTCACCACCAGCACACAACTCCATAACAAGATGCACAGACTGCTTGTCCTCATAGGCACCCTTAAACTCAACTATATTAGGCTGACCACTCAAGTGTTGCATTATCAGAATCTCTCTTTTGATATCCTCCTTGTCATTTTTAGTCACAAGTTTTCTCTTAGAAATTGACTTGCAAGCAAATTGTTTCCCAGTTAAATTCTCAGTACACAAATAAGTTACACCAAATTGACCCCTACCAAGTTCCTTACCAATAGTGTAATGTGACCTAACATCTTCAAAAGGTTTACCAAGAATTGTGTCTGCCCTGTGAGTGTGAACTGGTTTTGGACTTGCACTTGGAACAGCCGGCTTGTATGGTGATGAAGTTCCATGATGGCCTGGTTTCTCAGGCAAATGACGGGCTTGTTGAGCCGGTTGAGTCCTAACCTGGTGATGAACTACAGGATTTGGCTCTGATCTATAACCATAGGCATTATTTTGAGGCTTTGAATCTCCACTTTTGGTTAAACAACCACCCATTTCTCGATAAAAATAAGAGATTTTGAAGGGAACCCAGATGAGAAAAGAGAGAAATAGGTGAAATTTTGATTGGGAAAACTAGGAAATGAAAGGAACCCAGATGAGAAAATGAAGAAAATTCGGTAGAGATTCCAACTTGTAGAGAAATTTAAGAAGAATAGATCAAAGCTGAAGACTTTCAAAGAGGGCGTTTCTGAGATAAATCAGATGGAGAAGGTAAGGTGCAAACAAGAAAAACTTGGTCAACGGTTGAATAATGTTGAACACTCCATGTCAAACAGAGAGAAAGAGAAACAGAGTGAAAGTGCCAAGAATCTTCTTAAGCTGAAAGACAGCAAAAAGTAGCTAACTAAGGAAGCTGTCAACAGATCCTTTTTTTAAATTTTTTTTTTTTTTTTTTTCTCAAATATAGATATATATTGGAGAAGATAGAGTTAAATCCATTTTGGTCCCTGAGGTATGGCATAAGTAAAAGTATGGTCCAATAAAATTTTATAGTAACACTTGGGTTCTTGTAAGCCATAAGGTGTTATGGCAGCCAATTTTAAATATCCCTAATCTTTTCCTATTTAAATGAAATTAAAAATTAATAGAATTATATAAAAAAAATGATGCTAAATAGGAGAAGCAGAGTGACAAATAGTTGGAAAAGAAGCTCAAGTTGGTTGATCAAATGTAGCCCTTAACTCTTTCCTCTTTTTTTTTTTTTTTTTGACTCCGCATAATCGAACTAAAAGATGAAAAGCACCAGCAACTAGATAGACATATGAACGAACGAACTACAAAAGGTTGTTCGATGGCTTAAAACGGGGTTTGAGTGAATAACTTATATAAAAAAAGAAAACAAAAAAAATCCCGATACTTGCCTAAATATTACTATCAGATTTTAATAGACCTATGTTATTAGGTCATACCTAGGGCCTAAAATGAATTTAATTCTATAGAGGTGGCTTGAATTCTTCCAAGACTAAAAATCTTTTATATATATATATATATATATATTTTTTTTTTGTTAATTTTGAGAAAAAAGATTAAATTTGATGATGTTTTAATTGAAATGGTAATTCGTATGTTTATCCAAAAGTAACTACTTTTTAGAATCAAAATTCCATGATGGATTAATTATGCATTTTGACACGTTTCTTACCGAAAATCTTGATGGCTGAACAGGAAATTACGCAATTTCAGCCGTGAGATCCTCATATGAACCTCCACATGTGGGTCCTCATGACAGACAAGGGACACGTGGCAAAATGTTTACGTGAGCAAAACGTAAAGATGAGTCAATGATGACGGCCCTGCAATTACAGTTACACGTTTTTGTTGCGTTTAAAAACGTTTCTTTTGAAAACGATATTTCACGGAATCTTTATAATGGTATTATTTATTAAATTTACTCTTTCATTTATTTTTTATCATATTATTTTATATAAAAATTTTTATAAACTTTTTTTATAAATGCAGTATAATATTACGGTCATATTTAATAATTAGTTTGTTAGTTAGTAGTGGACAGAATTTAATAATATATTAAGTAGAATCAAGATTAATTTAGTCATTTATAATGTTTTTAATAATTTTTTATGAAGGATTTGAGTGTTCGTGACTTAGTTATCTCTTATAAAAAAGGTAAGTCGTTGCATTCGAGAAATGTCGGGTGTCTTTTACCGGTTTTAAATTCTCCCTGGAAGAAAAGCATAAATTTATGCAGATTTCTAGCTGGCTATTGCACTTTGTCGAAGAAAAAAAAAAAAAAAAACAGGGCATTTGATCTGTTTAAGTTAAACTATGCGAGGAACCAAAACATTTCTTGGTTGAGCAAAATGAGGTTTTATATTATCCTTTTTTCTTTTTTTCTTTGGCCGAATGACATGCACACACCCATAATTTGTCATAACAATAATTTAATATCCAAAAAGTTTGAAAATGATAATTACTCACTTTCTGTCTAACTCTATTAATAGAATCTGCTTAAATAAGGGTAATATAGTAATTTTATATATATTAATTTTAAATTAATCAATAAATCCCTAAATTTTTTTTTATTTCATTTTTCTCTTCTCTGTCTTATCTTCTTCTTCATCTCTCCCTTCCCTATCTTTCTTTTTCTCCGTCTTTTCCCCCTCCAGTCCTCCCCTTCTCTTTTTTTACTCTTCTTCTCCCTCTTTTCCCTTCTCTTTCTTTCCTTTCTTCACCAATTCTCTGTCTTTTCTCTCCTCCCCTTCTCTTTTTTCCTTTTCTTCTCCCTCTTTTCCCTTCCCTTTCTTCTCCATCTTTTCCCTCCTCCCCTTCTCTTTTCTTCCTTTCTTCTCAGTCAGGACCTCCACCAGCTCCAAACTCGCCACCAAAACCACCAAATACAACCATCACCACCACCACAAATTTCAAACGAGTAATGCTATACTTACATGACTCTTTTATACAATTTTCATTACATTATGATGTGACATATGTCACAACTACATAAATTTTAAATTTTTAATATTATAATAGAATTTGTGTGGTTGTAGTATATATCACATCATGATGTTTATAAAAGGGTGTAAGTGTTGCATTACTCAATTTCAAACACTTCCAACCTAAACTGTAAAAAATTATAAAAATTTGAAAAAAATAATCAAAAAGCTGAAGAGGAAAAGACCACCAAATACAACCATCACCACCCCCACAAACCACCATAAATTTCAAACACTTCCAATCCAAACTGTAAAAAATTATAAAAATTTGAAAAAAATTAAAAAACTGGAGGAAAAGATGGGTTCTTGCCTAGCGACCAAAGGGAAAAGAGGGAGAAGAAAAGGAAAAAAGAGAAGGGGAGGAGGGAAAAGACAAGGAAAAAAAAAGAAGGAAAATAGAAGGGAGAGGGGAAAAGACGGAGAATAAATAAAGAAAGAGAAGGGAGTGATGAAGAAGAAGATAAGAGAGAGAAGAGAAAAATGAAATAAAAAAATTTTAGGGATTTATTGATTAATTTAAAATTAATGGATATAAAATTAATATATTACCCTTACTTAAGCAGATTTTATTAACAGAGTTGAACAGGAAGTGGGTAATTGTCATTTTCAAACATTTTGGTATTAAACTGTCATCATGGCAAACTACGGGTAGGTGCATGTCGTTTGGCCTTTTTCTTTTTATAAAGTTATCAAATTTGAGTGGAGAGTGGCACGTGTTTCAAGTTGGTGGTCTAGTTTATTTTTTGTAATTAAATTATGTTATTATTTTAATTTATAATGGATGTAATGGAAACCTTATTCTTAGCCAAATTCAATTACTTTGAATTATTTAATTAATGGGGTGATTAGTATCTTTAATCTCACTTCTCTCTCACTAACTATCATATTTTTTTCTAGTTATTCTACTGTGGGTAATTCAGATAGTTATGACGAATTTCAGATAGTGTAAAGAAGCAGACGGTCTCAGATTCAATTTTTTATTTGAACATCCGTAATTTAAGTAAGATTGTGGCGGAATAAATTGGTTACCAAAATAAAATAAAAAATAACATTTTTCAGAGTTTCAGTCGATGGATTTTATTTTAAGCCATGTTTAACATAGATATGAAATTGATATATTAAAATAGTTAATAAAGAATGGAGATTCTCTTGAACATGTGAATGTTGATATTTAGGTCTGATTTATATAATTTTTTTAATTAACCATAAACTATAATTATGAATTCCATTCACATTAAGAAAATCAAACCTAAATTACGTTTGATAAATGGATGGTGTCTAACTTATTTTACATATTTAAGTTTAAATATGTTTATCTCAAAACAAATTATATAATAAGTTGGTAGGAGGTGTCACTAATCTTTATATTATCTTTAATGGTTCTAGGAACTAGGTAGTGGGTGGGTTTTGAAACCTGTCAAAAAAACAATTAAAACTTAATTTGACCCTTATATTTAAATGGAAAGAATCTTAGATGCATCCATACATCTGTATCCGATCAGACATTATATACATCGGACCAATTATGAAACGTAAAAACATCAAATGTTTTGATTCTTGAAGCTGGTTTGTCTGCCACTAATCGGCAGTTTTTGCATTGAAAACTTGGTGAAAAACGAGGCTGCCTTGGCCCATTGTCGTATTATTAAATTTTTACTTGCCATTCTCCAACAACCCACCACACCAGAATTGTATATATCTGAAGCTAATAATGAGCATTATTTGTGTTGCAGTTGGTTCAATTCCAGTGGCCGTGACTGAAACCCCAACTTAAAGCAGGAAAAGACATCCGGATGAGGAATGGGGAAATTTCTTGTCACAACACTATGAAACCCACTTTGTTTTGGCAGTTATACAAAATCTGAATTAAGATAAAACCATTCACTGTGTATGATTATTACTGATACCTAACCTTGTTTTAATATGCATGAACTGGTTAAGTTTTTACACAGATGATGTGAACTTCTAGTCAATGGCCAACAGTGTTTTCCAAAGAGACATTGGAAATCTTCATATTTTTCCAGGAAAATATATACTAGTTTGACTTAAAGTTTAATGACTGGATAATTCAGCATATTTTCTATCAATGTATCTTAAAAGTTGGTTGATGCAAGAGACTGGAAAATGGCTTCAGTCAAAGAATCATGCTGCCACATGTGGAGAGCTCAAGCACTGAATTCATCTCCACAAGTGTTAAGAGAAACCGCGAATTGGGTAATCATTTTTGAATCTATACTTTTAGGTACAAGCTAAAGTCTGGAAAGAAAAGAACTGGACTTGCAAAAATTTAAATCTGCTGCTAAGCTTGATAAGTAGTGAACTGGCAAAGATATGATCTTAGCACTAATTGAACCACTAATGTGGAAGATGTTACATGATGGAAGGCAGTGAGAACTAATGAACTATTGTATCATTGAATATTAAAGCAAATTAATATCTATTCCCTTCTAGACATATTTGTCAGGTACAATATTTTGCTGAAGATGATATCCATAAAACAAAAAAGCTGTTACCATAAATACTGGAAGTCGTGCTTCACCGTGTAGATTTTGATTTTTCAACAAGGATAACACGGCCATTCCATTCAGTCTCATCTAGGGCTCTGATTGCTGCATCTGCATCTTCATCTGTTTCGAGGGATAGAAAGCCAAATCCACGAGAATCCCCTGACCTTAAACACAAAAAAGAAATACAGGGCTTAAACCACCTTCTTGTTCATAGATTTTGTAGTCAATATTTTTTTTTTAAAAAAAATCCAGCATCCAGACTTGAATCTGGAAAAGCCATAGTGATTTTCCATCGCATTTTAAATCCTTTAATTATGGGTAATGCTTTAAATCGAAAATAATGTTACTCTGCTTTTAGTGTCAAAGCATCAAATGCCTCTGGCATATAATGACAAAAAAAATCTTTTAGAAAAAGAAATATACATATACCATATACAACATGAGTGACATGTATGGTGTAGTTACCTCTTATCCCGAACAATGCGAACATCTTGAACACGGCCAAACCTAGAAAACTTCCTCTCAAGATCTCTTTCTGTGGTCAAAAAGCTAAATCCTGCAACAAATAGATTCTTCCCAGGTTTCCCGACTCCAGTTTTTCGATTAGGAGGAGGTGACCAGGGCCTCTGCCTGGGAGAGTGGTGACGAGAGTGATATCCAGGAGGAGATCTTCGCCTTGGAGAACACCTTCTCCTAAAGCCAAAAAGAATGAAATTATCATGCCACTGAAAAACAAAAGATGATCATTGGAGAAAAGATGCACAGACATAGAGAAGGTAGGAAAGGGGAAAACAATGAGACAATTCCCTGCAATCCAAACATAGAAGGTCTCATGGTCCACATCACCATAACATGTTCCCTGGTTAGGGATGCTTAGCATCACCTTTAACTTCGTGCAGTGCTTATACATGTGGTACATCATGAGAGAGCAGACCTTATAGTCACAGGGTTGGCTTTAACTTATATGCAAATTGACGATAAGCATACACAAATTAAATATAGGAAACCTTTGTGTTTAAAATGGTTATTTCATTCTGCCTTTAGTAACAAGAACAGAACTCCAATCTGTATCAAAGTGCTAAAGAATCACTATTCAGGGACAAGGAGATTGCAATTGGATTGGGCATAACATACCATTATGAATATATTCACAATGTTTTATGTAATTAACATTAGGAACCCAAAGAGATAGTAGAGAGAATATTGCCTTGGGGATCTGTAATGATTTCTCATATATGGGGATCTTGAGCGAGATTTGTCACGATAATTTCTCCCATATCCAGAAGAGGGATCCCTTCGCTGAATGGGTGACCTTGACATTGATCTATCATGTCTCCGATACTTTTTAGGTGAGTAGCGGGGTTCTGGAGATGCAGACATGTGTTTCAAGGATGAACCATTCTTATGCCGCGACCTCTTTGGAGAAGCAGATGATTGCGTAGCTGAGGGAGATAAACGACGATTGGATGAAATTCTTTTAGCTAGATCAGACCTTTCGGGTGAAGCAGCATGCTTCTGTTTATGTTGGGTCCGGGAATGCAATTCATCTTGGACACCTTCTTGTAAAGGCAGGGATGGCCTATGGCCATTGGGAGACAAGTGTAAGTGTGGAGATCCTTCAGGTGAAACCAGCATTTGGTTAACTGTCACTGGTGATGCTGATCTTCTGTGGGTGCTCCCAGGAGAGTGTGAAATAGAATGTGACAAATCTAGCTGTCCACTCTCAGATGGAGAATTTTTCGAAGAGTTATACTTTTCATTTCTAGGTTCACCTTCACCATCACCTGAGGGTGACCTTGAATAAGAAGACAACTTCTCAGTTTCGTGTTCAATAGTTTGCCCTTCAATTTCCTTGTCCGGAGAGTTAGTAAACTCATATGTTGATTTCTCCAAAAGAGCATATTTTATTTCTTCATCTTGGTGACTGGTATTTGGCTTATTTACATCGGGATTGCACTCTGGTTCCTCTACTTGGTTGCTATCTGCTGTCAGAGGAGACTCCTGTGGATGAGCAGAACCTTCAGTTCCCCTTTCATCGTGTAAAGTTTGTGCCTTAAATTCAAAGGAGGATTTCTGAAAATAACTGCCAGACAACTCATCCATCTCACCTTGGTAATGTTTACCATTGGAAGGAGACTGTGTCCTCTCCTGATCATAATCAATATTTGTTCTCCCAGCATTGTCTTGATCAAATTCAGTTGGAACAGAGTGGGATTTACCATAACTGCATCTCATATTCCCTTCTCTCAAACCAACACGAAAAGAGGAGGAATCCTGTTGGCCCTGCTTGTTAAACTCCACTTGAATTTCATTATCTGTAGCTAAGTTTCTGCAACCATGACCTTCAGCATTTTCTTCTCCATCAACAGCAAAGTTGCGGTCTAGCTCTCTAAAATCATCTATTTTCAGAACCTCACTCATTTCTTCTGCCCTTTCAAACGAACTAAATCCGTCTCTGGGCAGCTGGGCCTAGTTTCAAGCCATAAAATGGAAAAGAAAAAATATTAAATATGGCACACAGTCCATAGAAACAAAAGAAACTAGGCGAATCTTCTTCTATCTGATCTCATTGCAACATGAAGCCATCAATAAAAGAACCAAGCCTTTAAGAAACACACCAAGAAAGAAATTAAAAAAAAAAAAAAGAATGCTCAACTATCATTTGAAATTTTTTGGCCTAAATCTTGCATACATATACATACTGATAGAAGCTTTGCAAAATGCTTTTGTAGTTAAGATTTAATTAAGCACCTTGTGAGGACAATCACTATTAATCCAAAGATAGGAATAAGTTATGCTTATAAATTGCACTTGATGAGGCATGTAAAATAAGTCATAAAGTCAATATTCATGAGGTATACCAAAAAAGTCACTAAACCCTCAATCTTGATAGATACCAGGTTGGGGATCAGAACCAGAGATTTTGCCATCTTATAGGATGGCTTGAATGCCTTAACATGATGTCTCACAATTCAGACTCAATCACTCCTGCCCAAATAAGGCCAGAACTCATCACTTCAGCTTAGCTAAAACGGAAGAGTATTGCTTATTCCAGTCTCAGCGCTTATAGATTGAGATACCTATAGCCTTGCAATCACGACGAACACCATCTCATGTCCCAGTCTTCTAGCTGAGATACTAATATGATGCGAATGGCTTGCAACTTTAGGATTGAAAATCACTACTCAGTCTTGCAAGTTGTCAGTTGCCTGCCTATATAATACTAAAGGGCTCTTTATAAGAGTACTGAAATTTATCACTCAGTATAACCACCTTTTAAGGCAGACTAACAGAATATAACAATTACCCTCATCCTCCCTCATCCTGCAAAATGAACCCTTAAATGATGCCCAAATGCAAGTGAAATATTTACTTCATTGCCAGCTATGCCACTAGATTTTGCGGAAATTTTAACCAACCCAAGTAAATTTCTCAAACTCACTCCTTTTACACTTAACAGCAAACCTGCCTAAATGACCTGAGTTCACAAAACCCATCTCCAGCCGAGGAAAATTATTCACCAAAAACGAAAAAATATAATTAAAAATGAAAAGAAAAGAAAAAGAGCTTAACCAAAATCAACACCTTGCAAGTCAAACTCAAGTACATACAATGATACCCACTGTCATGCAGTTACAGCTTTCTACAGTAATCTTAAACTAGTCACCAGACACAAAAAAAAAAGTACCACCAGAAACTCCATGCTCAATCCAAATAGGCAAATACACAGTGATTGGCTCCAGTGTAAAATGCCCATCTAAAAGTTCCACCCTATTCATGCATAAAAATAAAAAATTGCACCAACAACCGACATGGAACATTAAAAAGAAAGGCACTCAGCAAAACAACCAATAACAATAAACCCACAAGAAAATTGTTTGTTTTTCATGCACCAGGAGCTTGACAACGATGTTTCCATCATAAAAACAACCAACTACCCAAAACAATACACTCCAGTAATGAGCCACACTAAAGGCAACATACAAAAAGACTGTACTTTGTTGCAATACAAAGATATTGATTACCTTTCTTTCCAATCTTTATGTGAAATTTGTTTGTTTCGCTAGAAAATGAAAGCTGAATGATATTTTCAGAGGCTGCAATGGCAGAATTTTTTTCTCTTTCACTGAAACTAAATATTCGGGAAAATAAACAGTTTCTGTTAACTTTTTATCGGATCTAAGGTAACTTTATGTGGGTTGGAATGGGAAGTGACTTCATGTCCGTTTGGGCTGACATGAGTTTGGTGGGCCTCATCTGGCCCATGATGTGTGTACACTAGGCCCAATAGTTGTCATGGTCATGGAATATTTGATGTGATTGCTTAAACGTGCTGTATCCATAAGAAGGATTGTGTTATGTTGCTTGGAGATAACGATACTGTCGTCTAGATTATTAGATCGATCATTATCGATTATGATTTAAGAACTCTTTTAGGAGGTAGCGTTGCCCGTTTTATTGTATGTTAGGTATAATCATACATTAGAGTATTGGATGGGAGATTGGTTGCGTTTGTTACCTGTTTTCAAAATGAGTAATGCTACAGCCACCGACAGTAGTGCACTGAATTTGTGTACTGAATGACGTAGTAAAATTTTGACCATTTATTAATATTAAGTTAAAATTAATCAACGGTCAGGATTATGTCACGTCATTTGGTGCACAAATTCGGTGCACTACCGTCAGTGACTGTATTATTTTCCTTTCAAAATATTCTATTCTTATTCTTAAAAACATGCGCGTTTGTTCTGTATTCTCAAAATCATATATTATAATATTTAACTATTTTAAACTCCTATGGGTTTGTTAATTTAACTAAATACTTCCAACAAAAAAGTTTTATAAATTAACAAAAACATCCCCACCCACCCACATTTGTTAGATTTGACAACCATTGTCGAAAAGTGGCTGGAATCTAGTGTAATGGTGTATTATTGGCTGGATCTGATTGGTAGTGCACCAATATGACCTTTTTCAGCCGAATCCGACCATATCTTTGACCATATCAATGGCCATATCTGGTCGTAGATATAGTATTTTTCGACCAGATTCGTGGTGGATCTGGCTGAAAAAGGCCATAGCAGTGTACGACTGGCTAGATCTAGTCGGTTGTGCACAATGACACCAGATTCTTGGTAGATTCTAGCGGTGGTGGTCAGAATCTAACAACTGTAGATATGTAAGAGTACTTTTATCAATTTATAAACTTTTTATTATTGGGGTGTTTAGCTAAATTAACAAACCTATAGGAGTTTTTTTTGTTAATTTTAAAATATTTTCTCATAATAATAACCCAACTCAACTTAAATATAATATTTCAAAAATCTATGTATATCATCAAATTATTTTAATCTTGTAGTTCATTAACTTTTAAAGATCAGATACTAATAAGCAATGCTTATTTGAGTCGGTTTATAAATATTTTATTAAAACCTATGGATGGTCAAGATGAAATTGTATTTTCTGAATCTCAACTAATTAAATCTCTATTCTAGATATTATTTCGACGTGTTTCATATATTAACCTCTTTAAACATATATTATTACTATTGATTCGGTAATCTGTATAGGATATGGTCAATTAACTTCGATAACTTAATACTTTTTATGCATAAGACAAAGATAATGCAAGAATAGATACGAAAATGTGTTAATGGTACTTGGCAGTAGGGACAAAAAGGAAATTATCATAGTGGAGTACATTTACATCTTCATTTTAAATAGCCTCAAGGACAAGACAGGTGACCCATAACAGAAAAGAGGATGAGAATAGAAATTTATGGATAAGATCTCCATAACTCTTCCCTTTTATTTATATCCCTCAATAAAAGTTTTAAATTTAATTTCACTAGAATGGAGGAACACAAAAATAGAAATAAACCCAAATAGATATTAATATAGTTCTAAGGAGGTGTTTGGTTAGGGGTTAAGTGAGATTATTGGGGTAATGTCATCTTATATTACTTGATTATCATGTTTGGTTGTGGGTATTCTGAGATTACCAAGGTTATCTTTTTCTGTTATAATTTTATCCCTTATTAATAAAAATTTTGGACAATAATATCCCTACTTTAAAACAAATTTACATTAATATCCTATTTCAATTTTATCCTTGTTTAATTAAAATTTTGGACAATAATACCCTTATATTTAAAATAATTTACAGACCACCACTGCCACCCAGCCACCACCGTCGACAGCGGCTGCTGCCGAAAAATCGTCGGAGTCCCTAAAAAAGAAGGAAATTCTGTGGAAGACTCCGAGAGGCTTCGATATGGTCGTTTCCGGCCATATTGAAGGCCGAAAATGGCCATATCAGGCCAGATCTATTTTGGCCATTAACGGTCAGGTCCATGGTTGTTAACGGCCAGATCTCGTCTAGACCTGGCCGATAATGGCCAGGGATCTAGTCAGAAATGGCCAGATTATTTTCGGCCAGATCTGGCCCGATATGGTCGTTTTCGGCCATCAATATGGCCAAAAACGGCCATAGCGGAGCCTCTTGGTCACGGTGATGTACTCACGGGGACTTTCGAAGACATCCGGCGGTGGTTCACGGTGGCGGTAGGCGGCGGCAGGAGGTGGGGGTGATTTCATCATAAATTAAAGTTTTATATAAGCAGGGTGTTTTAGCTAAATCTGAAATATTGGGGGTTCAAAGATATTATTCAAAAATTATTAATAAAAAATATTATATTAATATTTAAAAGAGGGATAATTTAGTAATTTAAAAATATACTCAACAATTTATTCTCCATAACTAAACATATTAATATAATATACTCACCAACTAACCAAATATATTTTCTAAAGATTCTCAATAATCTTTCAAGATAATCTATATTTCTAGTAATCTAATATTCATAAACCAAACGTCATACAAAAGATAAAGGGTCCTTGGTTTTATTAATGGAGTCTTGGGAAATATGCAAGTCAAGTTGGTTCTTAATTTTTGCAGTCCTGCAACCGCAAGAGAAATGGGAAACTTGGCTAACCATAGTTATCTATTCAATTGAAAAATTTATTGCTGGCATGATGCTGAGGTTACATTTCGGGAGACATGCAGATGTCAGAACCAGAGAGCAAAATATCTTTGGAGTGGACCTCCTCCACAATAAATGATACTAAAATATCAAACTTAATGCCAGATTTTTATCTCTTTGAGTTGCTGCTGTATCCAAAATGAACTTAAAGTTGGTTTAATTTGCATTTGATGCATATAAATATAGTCATTTGTCACAAATAAAAAGAAGTGTTTTGAGTACAAGACACCCTGTGAAACCCAGAAGCAAATCTGTGAGTCTAGAGTAGTTCAAAGAATACTTGTTTTGAGCAGGAAACAAGAAGTTGTAGTTTATTTCCAGCTAAGATTCAATCCGCAGCAGCCAAAAATGGTTTAGCAGCTAATAGTATTGGGTTCATAACCTTGGATGAGGCCAGAGACTAGACTAAATTCTGAAATTGAAGTGTGGTACAGAGAATAATGACTAGGAAATATAATTATGGGTGAAGCTGAAGCAGACCTATCAACTATGTGAAAATATCTAAAGCTAGTGCTAACATTTAATGCCATTTAAAAGGACCACTTTCTGTGTCCCGAACATGATCTCCGTACTCAACACTTGTTAATTTTCAGCCCACAGTAGCAGTATAAAAACAATCCCAGCACCCGGTTTTGGAGGTTTCTGATTCCTCTTTGCGCTGCTATTGGCGCCCCTGGCTTTGTTGTAGTACTGCAGTCTCAGTGTCACTACTGACTAGCCGAAGTTAACCTTTATTACATGATGCGAAAGACCAATCTAATTGCTAGAGATGGCTGTGGTGGTAACCAATGGTGACTGTTCCAAGACATTCTGTATTCAAACAACTGGTCTGGCTCCACCCTCTCATGCAACAGTGCCCAATTAGTCACTCTAATTTGTAGAAGGTATACTGAGTTTTGATAAAATAAAATGAGAGACAGCGATGAAGCGTCAAAGATGGTTAAAAGTTAAATTTTGAATCACTTCTAAAAGTAGAATAATGCTATAGACACCGACGATAGTACACTAAAATTTATGCACTGAATAACGTGACAAAATCTTGACCGTTAATTAATTTTAACTTAATATTAATCGACTGTTAGGATTTTGTCACGTTATTCGGTGTGCTACAGTCGGTGGCTGTATTATTTTTTATAAAAATAAATTCTTTAACGTATGTTTAAATCTAAAAACATTTATTTTTAATTAGCATAGGTTGAGATTTTTTGGTGTGGGTTTGAATCCCGTTATTGTTTTACCTTCTCTATTTAAATGATGCATGTGTTGTAGGGTTAAGTGTGTGTGTCTTGAATGTTCCTCCAACAATCTATCATCATATAAAGAGTAAACAACTTTTTTCCACCCCAGGCTTGCCTTAATGACACTTTCTCACTTAAAAAGTTTTAAAATACCACTTTTTCACCTAAAGTTCATATTCTGTTACTACTCAAAGTTTCAAAGCTGATTTTGATAGCGAAAATTCTCTTTGTTATCACTATTTTCGATCTTCTCTTTACAAAACACCTCTCACTCTAGCACTTAATTTTTCTCTAATTGCTTTTTTAGCTGATTTTGGCTGATTTAGGCTGCGAATATTCAATTGGTTACCACCATTCGATCCATTGGTCTCCATTCTATAAAACCACTCTTACCTTGACTCCTGGTAACTTGTTGAACGTCGTATGAGAAAGTGAAATGTATTTTGGGTATTAATAGAATATAAACTTTAGGTGAAAAAGTGATATTTTGAAACTTTTTGGGTGATAATGTCATTAAGGCAAACCCTGTGTGGAAAAAAGTTGTTTACTCTCATATAAATTAATAACAATAATAATAAATGAGAGACTGTTGGGAATAAAATAACTTTTGAGATCTAGAAGTAGCCAATTTGAAAGAGATTTTTCTGGGTAATACTATGCTGAATCTTAAAACTTTTTCTCGAAAATGCCGACACGACATTATCACGTCTAATCACAACTTCTACTAAATATAAATAATTGTTCCTAAAGAATGAACGATCGTTCACCGTATAAGGAACGATCTTTTCTTAGGGATGAACGACTATTTATCGTATAAAGAATGACCATTCCTCCCTACAGAATGATCATTCCTTCCTATGGAATAACTATTCAATGAGAAATGACCGTTCCTCATCCAAGGAACAATCGTTCTATCCTTATCCAAGGAACGATCATTTTTTATACGTTTGTAGACCTCTCTTTATTCGATTTTTTTTTTTTTTACTTTTCCTAGTGTTATAGCATATAATTTTATTTTACCATCCTGTTAAATTGCAGATTGGATTTGATCCAAATATACTAACATTCCATTCTTTATTTGAGATTAAGCCTTTAAACAATTACTAAACAAAGTTTTACTAATTATTTAACTCATATAATTCACCATATCTGTCACTATAAGTTCCAAGTAAAGAGTTATCTTCTAAGTTCTAATGGATTCTGGAAACAATAATGGATGGGCAATCAAATCACTGGCATTTTATATTATATTGTATTACCATTTTTCGTAAAGTCTGATTAGAAGCATTAATGCTCATTTCCCATTTCATTTTGCATGTAGCTGCATTTGTCTTGTAGCTCTGGCTCTCAAGTCTTTTGACTTAAACCCCACATAAATGCTGCTGTTCTTCTTGCCCTATAAAATGCTTGAGTTGCTTATGCATATTCCCGAAGCAAACTCTAATCTAATGCTTTTTCTTCTTAATAAATATAGTACACTATCCAAGTTAGCAATTGGTTTTCACCTTTATCTCTTTTTTCCTCTTCGAGTTTGTTTTTCCCCATGTTGAAAGAGTGGTTTTCTGGGCTAATAGACATGTCGTTTAAGTGTAAAGTGGTGGTTTCTCTGTGGTTTTTTGCCATGTTTGGTGCTTCTGGAAATGGGGTTTTGATTAGAGCCTTGAGGAAAGGTCTCTATGCTTCATTCACCTGCACTTTTGCATTAGGTATGTATGTATATATTCTGAATAAACTTACTATTTGGTCTCAGTCTTTTTGTAACAATGAAGAATCAATACGGCGTTTGTTAGTTTGTTTGATAACTAAGTCTTGTCGCGTAAAACTGATACATGAAGTCATGAACTAACAGGCTTATTTCTCTTTGGTTTTCCAGGTGGGGCAATAGTTGGAACAATTGTGGGAGCCATGAAAGGCCAAACAACTGAAACTGGGTTCCTTCATGGGGCTGGAATAGGTGCAGTGGCAGGTGCCATTACAGCTATGCAGTTACTAGAATCAGCAGCTGATGGAGAGTCATTGTCCAAGGTAAAATGGTTAAAACTTTCTCTACCACTAATTATAACACACTTCCTCCTTTAGTTAACAGTAATTTTCAAATCAATAAGAAATGGAAATTAATCGAGGACCAGAGAGAGATAATTAATCAACATAATTTATTATTTTTTACAGCTTGCTCTCTTAACTAGCTTAATGAATGGCAAGGTTTTCACGGAATGGGTAAGTCCAGCAATGCTCAAAGCCTATCAGTGGCAAGTAAGTAATCGCTCCAATTTATGAAGCTTTTAGTGAAAATTTTTGTTCAGATAATGTGAAATCTAATCAGAAATTAACTTGGTTATTAATCTCAGATTAGCACATTGGAAACTACTTACAGAGAGATTTCTGATGTATATGATGTCAATGGAGTTAAAGGGCTTTCCAGAGATTCAATTCTAAAGCTTCCTGAATTTACAGTTGATTCTAAAATCATGGTCCAAATTTGCCATGAGCTTTGCTGTTCAATTTGCTTACAGGTGAATATATATACATCTTGACTTTAAGCTGTTAACAAAGTTATGAATAAGTTTAGAGTTATGGGTTCTTGGATTTGACTGTTTTTTTTCTTTTTTCAGGATTTCTTGGAGGGTGATTCTGCAAGAAAGCTTCCTAATTGTGGACACTGTTTTCATTTGGAATGCATAGATAAATGGGTAACTAGAAATGGCACTTGCCCTGTGTGTAGAGAAAGTGTTTGTAAAGAAACATATTTGTAGTTGTGGACAAGTGAACTCACTCATCTAATCAATTGAAATCTCTAAGTCTTGTAAACTGAATTTCAGATTCATTCATGAACGATGTGAGATATGATATATTAAGCCAAAACAATTGTGCTATAATTCTTGGAGATGCATTAATTATTGGTCGTTTTTACTAGTTAAAAATCCCAGTCAACACCAGTGAGTAACTTTAAATTAAGCTCGTCGATTAAGTTTGAAGGTAATACTATACTTACAACCCAATTGTAAATGGGTCCAACATTTCCAATTGTGAACTGCAGTTTTGGAGTTATGAGAGAAAGTTTGTAAGATTGAACTTATGAGCCCATCTTTATTGTTAAGTCGAAATGTTTCCCAAATTGTAAAAAATGTGTGTGATAATTTTTATATCAAACTATAGAATAATTAAAGTAAATCAACAATAATAAATTGTACTTGGTATGAAGTAATACAAATCTCATGACATCTAAATATGTTGAAAATTAATTTATATATCATTTATAGTAATGTAAATGATGAGTTAAACAACTCTTAAATTAGATCCACCGGTTAATTATGAGATTGTTATTGTAATTGTTTTGTTTTCGTGGTATTGGGCTTTCGAAGGCCCAAACAGCCCAAACCTAAGCTCTCAGGCCCAATCTTGGTTTATGAAGCCCAAGCCCAGGTAACACCTATATTGTTTTTATTAAAAACAGACAGGACAAGAAAAGCCACCATTTTTAAAGTCTCACTCTCACCAAACACAGGTGAAGTGAACCGAGACTGTTATTCAGAGAGACAGAGACTGATGGCTTGGTGTTCATTAAGGTCGTTTAATGTCCCCACTGTCGACATGGGCGCACTGCGCACACGGTCTCCTTTGGCTGCCGTCGGCTTCGGCTGCGCCTCCGTCGCCGCCTCCACCCTGTGGTGTTCTTCATCTAGAGCACACACCAGTCCCTTTGCTTGCTTATCAACATCAGCTATTCCTAGTAAAACTCGATTCACTTTTTTTTTTTTTTTTAAATATATTTTTGTTGTGGGTTTTTCATTTTTTTATTGATTTGCGTGATACCCATTTGCGTTGATGATGTAAATGTGTGGTGAAAAATCAGTGTAGTTGGTTTGAGAGTTTGATTGTGATGAAAGATTGAGACTTTTTGTTACTATGTGTAGTTTAGAGTGTCAGTGGGATTTTGTGAGTTGAAATGAGGTTAATTAGTTGTGCTTTGGCTTTTGTGACCGGTTGATATGGTTGCAATTTTATTAGCATGAAATGTGTTACAAGTACATTGAGATTTTGGAACTTGGGTTCGGTTTTTGGTGCTGATATTTATTTATGTTGAGACTTTTACTGAAGTTTGGGATTTTGATAGGTGGATGAGTTGAATTTTATATGTGGATTCCAGTTGTGGTTTTCAACTTATGAATGATTATTAACGGAATGTTGGACTTTTTAACTACATTATGTAATTAGAAAAATATGTGAATGAAGTTACAGAGATAAATCACTGGGCGATTTTGTTTTGAGGCTGTGAGATAATTGGTTGAATAATTTTTATTGTAATTGGGAAGCTTTTTTTGTTGGGATCCTTATGGATCGGTAACATGTAATGGTGCTGACTATGTCGTGATTGTAGGTTTGAAGGAGGCTGTTGCGACTAACAAGGCACCAGCAGCATTGGGACCGTATTCTCAGGCCATCAAAGCCAATAATCTTGTTTTTGTCTCTGGAGTTCTTGGTCTTATTCCAGAGGTTTGTGATGTTTTTCATTCAGGGTTTTGCTTCAATATTAGGTTTTATTATAAATGGGCCTGCATATTATAATGTGATAACTATTTATGAAATAGATGAATGTTCTTTTCAATTGTGCATACACATACTTGTCATCTCAGTCTTGTCGATTTGCTTTTCATGTGCCGCTCTACTGATTGTATTTTTCTGGTACTCTCTTCCAGACTGGGAAGTTTGTCTCAGAGAGTGTAGAGGAGCAAACAGAGCAGGTAAATTAGTAACCTATGAGCTAGCCATCTCAATCCTTAATTTTTCTTTTGCGCATTCTGAGTATTACATGAATTAAAAACTTCTACATGCCTGGGAGTGCTAAATGCTGTTTATTCTTCTTTGTCGTATATTGTTTGTTTCATAATCCCCGTTTTTAGGGAGGGGAGTGGATGTTAAGACTGATGTCCATACAACTTTTGCATATTTAGGAAATGCTTTTTTATTTTTATTAGTAAAGCCTTTTTTACTTAACGAAATGTTACTTGGTTGTTTGATTGGTCGGCACTTGGCTTGAATTACTATGACATAAGATAGCTCACTTTCTTTACAGCTCTGGCTGATCTGGGCTTACGAAAAATTTGCAGGTTCTGAAAAATATGGGTGAAATACTGAAAGCTAGTGGTGCTGATTATTCCTCTGTGGTTAAGACAACAATTATGTATGATCTTCTGTAACTTCGCACTACAATCTTGATTCTTTGAGGTATAGAGTTAGGCAAAGATGAGTCTTTTTAATTGTTTCTCTCTGCAGGTTGGCTGACTTGAAAGACTTCAAGAAAGTAAATGAGATCTATGCTAAATGTAAGTTTTATGTTAGTTAAGTTGAATTATATTCATTGATTAATCAACTTGGCATGTAATTGATTCTCAAGATCAACCATGAAGAACTCAGGTCAAGCTGACCAAGTGATTTCTTGTTGTTGCTGCAGACTTTCCGGCACCTGCTCCAGCTCGTTCAACATATCAAGTAGCCGCACTACCCTTGGATGCCAGAATTGAGATTGAATGCATTGCAGCACTTCAAAGTGCCTAATTAAAGCGAAGTTCTGCAAGAGTGAATAATAAAGTAAAAGAGGGCGTCTGGAGAACTATAGCTTAGAAATATTTTCTCAGTTCCATTTTTATTGCAAGTAGTAAAACTAATAGGTTGTAGTTCTACCTTAATCCATTATTGCTGCTTTCAAGGTCTGTTCTAGGAATTTTGGGATCTGAGTCCTGCCACTTAGGTGACCCTGGACTAAATCCTGCTAAGTTATTGTACTGTCAGCATGTGAACATTCACTTTGAAAATGCATTGCCCAGCTGCTATTTTCAGTTATTTATTTGGTTTAGTAATATAAGTATATGTATATTTGGTTGCTTGAGAATTGCAAATAAAATGAAAATACTACATAATTAAAAAAAAAAAAAGAAGAACTATCTCTGGATGGCCGAGTGTTTTGATAAGGACTTTTTAATTGTATTACTCAAGAGTCAAGAGGTATTGAGTTCGAGTTTCTCTTCGGTTATTAATAAGGGTAGATACCATGGTTGTTAAATCGTGTATCATATCGTTAATCAAAAACCTAATTTTTTGAATCGTGCATCGTATTATAGGATATACATTTTTCAAAAAAATTAATAAAATAATAAATTTTTTCTAAAAATTAATATTATCATACATCCCTATGATTAATTAACGAATTTTGCAGTATTATTGGTTTTAAATTATGATATTACATAATCAAAATTAATCACAAAATTGAGAATCTATATCATTTTCTCTCAACTATTCATATCATTTCTAATATCAATGTCAATATCTGTATCTCCACTTGTGTTATTATTATCGGGTTGGGTGACCCGAAAAATATTATGGGCCTTCAGCCCAAATTAATAAAATCGTATTTACTTGTATCGATATTTTTAAGGATATGGATGGATACGTATCGTATTGTGGGATACATATTAATGTATCAAAGGTTTAAGATATACTCTCTGATACGTATTATTTACAATCCGTATTAAATCGTATTGTAAACATTGTTTTAAAAACCGAACCACTCGTTGACCTGGTCAAGGGGCCAGTTCACAAGTTGACCGATCCAACCGGTTTAACTGGTCGGTCTGACCAATATATAGGAGTCACATCTTTAAATAATTCCATTAATTATTATAAGTTTGAAAACTAGCAAAGACATCCCTAAAAATTACTTATAAAACCCCTATAAGTTTAAAATAAAACAAATGTACCCCACAGATTTTATTATTAATTATTTTTTTCCCTCTTCCCATCACGTCATCTTTCTCCTCTTTTCTCTCTTTCTCAGGCACTTCCCATCACTTTCTTCTTTCAATAATGCTACGGACACTAAAAAAACTGCATCGAAATCGTGTACCGGCCTACGTGTAACACGCCTCTCGTTTGTTTTACAATTTTTTTCTAGTGAACGGTCGTCTATCAAATTTAGATGGCCATTCACTCACATGGACACCGGACGGGCGTCCATATACAAGGGATGGGCATCCTCATTTAAAGGACGCCCGTCCATAAATAAATTATGACAATAAAAAAAAAACTTTGGGGACGGCCGTCCATAAATTATGGACGATAGTCCCTTACGTTTGGACCGTCCAAACATTTTTTTTTTTTTTTAAAGTATGGACGGGCGTCCATTTACTGTATTTTTTTTCGGGGAGGCAAGAGTTTAAGATTTTCGAGGAAGTTAGTAGCGATGAAGAGAATAAGGATAAGCTACAGAACTTCAACCAGGATGCAAACGTACTATACTAGCTGGAGGACGTCAGAAAGTTGGCTGATGATGTGCAGGAGATACTGCATGAGATTGCTATCACTGGAAAGAGTTCACAAAAACGTAAGTAATGGACGGGTGTCCATTCCTTACGGACGCCCGTCCCATCCAAAGTTTTTCTTTAATTTGTAGAAACCAAAATAATGGACGGGTGTCCATTAGGAGTGGACACCCGTCCAAACAATTTTTTTTTTTTTTTTTTTTTAAAAGTATGGACGGGCATCCATTAGGAATGGACGCCCGTCCAAATGTAAGGGATGGTTGTCCATAATTTATGGACGGCCGTCCCCAAAGTTTTTTATTTTATTTTTTATTTTCATAATTTATTTATGGAGGGGCGTCCTTTAAATGGAGACGCCCGTCCTTTATATATGGACCCCGTCCGTGTGAGTGAATGGCCGTCCAAATTTGATGGACAGCCTTTCACTAGAAAAAAATTATAAAAAAAAGAGAGGCGTGTTACACGTAGACCGGTACACAATTTCAATGCAGTTTTTTCGGTGTCCGTAGCATTATTGTTCTTCTTTTGCTTTCTCTCTCTTTCTCTCTCCCCCCATCACTTCCCGCCACTTTCTTCTAACACATTCGCGTCTCTCCTCTTCCTTCTCTTTCTCTTCATCTCCTCTTTTCTTTCTTTTAATCTTCTTCCTTAATCTTTCTCTTGTCTCCTCTTCTCTTTCTTCTTCCTTCCCCTCCCCTTACTTCTTCTTCTTTACACTCTCCCCTTACTTCTTCTTCTTTATACGACAGATTTTAGAGTAAGTGAAAAAAAATAAAAGATGTAATTTAGTTTTTTTATTCAAATGAAAGGAAGAATGAAACGATCCTACAAATTTGTTTAGGAATTAAGAATATCAATTTTTTAGGATTAGACATCTAAAAATGGCAAACCGTTTTAAGCCTTGAACCAGTCATACTGACGGTTTTATACTATTCTATCGATCCATTGTTGGTCTAAAGCAGGTTTAATGATATTCTCAGTTTTTATATTAATCTGAACCGGAGAAAAAGCCAGCTCCCAGTCAAACTGGTTCGATCGGATGGTCCGATTCAGGATTTAAAACAGAGATCGTAAGATATGTATCGCGTAATGGAGGATACTAATAACCATGTAACCACTCTTATTCATTATTCAAGATATTAATTAAAGTGATGTAAGTTGGTCCAGGTACCGTGCATCATTTAAAAAAAAAAAAAAAAAAAAACCACAATCTTAAAAGCTTGACACATAAATTGAGATATATGAATTGAAAATCTTATATTAATCTTTGGTCAAACTTTAACAGGGTAATGTTAAATTCACTATAAAGGATTTTTAGAGGAAAAAATCTGAAATATTTAAATAAACTAAATCTTTCTAAATTATAAATTAAACATAATTAAGACGTAGGGAGAACTTGTCCAACACATGTTTATTTAAAATACAAATTTAAAAGAAAAAAAAATCTCTAACTAGATATCTTGATAACCAACTACTCCTTAGCTTTCTATCTTTTTATCATAATTAATCTCTTTTATTATACCTTCCTCAACAGTTACTTATTTTAGCTAAACCAAAATAAAAAAACAAAAAATCCCATGAAAAAAATCTTGGATTTATATAATTAGCTCTTGTTTGTGGGTCCATTGTGTTTCCTGTTATTCTTATCTTCTCCATTTCTTTACTGCAAGGTTACATTCTTTTATTCCATTTCAGATCTAAACATTTCATTCGGTACTTCTTTTTGTTAGTATATATGCTCTTTTTATTTTTGGATTCCCCTTTTGAGTTTTGATTGCTTATATAAAGTCCCCGTTTGCTTTCTGGATTGTTTTTCTAAGGTGGGTTGGTTCAAATTTTAATTTTTAGCTTTTACTTTGTTTAAAGATTTTTTTATTTTTAATTTTTAATTTTGTTTCAAGATTGAATTATTTTATTTTGTCAAGATTGGATTCTTTTTTATTATTATTTTGTTTTATGTGTGTTCACGAAGGAGAGTTTTCGTATATTCTTGGCGGGTTTTAATTAGCAAGTTCTTCTGTTTAGTTTTTGATCTTCTTTTATATATTCTATGTTACTATGGTTCTATTCTGAGGTTACAGAAGTTGTGAAATTTGAGATTTTTTATGTGTTTATTTGGTTATCCTTTTTATATAATTAAAGGGTGTTTTTCAGGTTATTGCTTCATGCCATTGGTTTCTTGTTTCCTTTGTTTATGCTGTTGCTTAGAATCTTGAAGCATATAATAATTAATTTCTGATTGTTTTCAGGCGCATATATCCTTGTAAGATGGACGGGATTATAGTTAGAAGGGTGATTCCCTCGGACAACAGTTGCCTTTTTAATGCTGTTGGGTAAAGACTAAACTATAAAATTATTGTTAGTTATAATGAAATGAGTTTTTGTTTCTGTTTTTTCATCGCTCTTTTGTTTCTCTATTTACTATTTACAGATATGTTATGGACCATGACAAAAATAAAGCTCCAGAATTGAGACAGGTTCTTATCTGTTACATCTTATCTTTGCTGCTAAACATGTGTAGTTAAAGATCTCAAACATAATTGGATTTCTGTTCATGTGTTTGCTATGGTTTATGGGGGATCTTCAAGCTTATGTGCAGTTTTGAGAATTGGTGGGATGAGTTTATTGCAGTTAAATATAAATGTTCAAATTTTATGTGGTGGAATATCTATTTAGCTTGATACATCTAATATATGCGCTACTTGTGTCATGTGAGATTAATGATGCATAGAAGTTATGAAAAGTGCTTTTATTTGTCTGTCGGTCTTTCGTTTTAATTATTATTTTGAAAACAAATGCTACAAACGTTACTGAACAGACCTGTGAATGAGTGATATAATTGACATATTCTATTTCCTTTTCTATTTGATTTTCTGAACACTGTGATTTATGAACTTTTGAAGGTTATAGCGGCAACTGTGGCAAGTGATCCTGTAAAATATTCCGAAGCTTTTCTTGGAAAGCCAAACGAAGAGTATTGTTCCTGGATTCAGGACTCAGAGAAGTGGGGAGGTGTGTTGAACTTCTTTTCTTAGGGCATGTTTTGATGGTCATTAGACTGTTGAAAGAAGATGGGTCTATATTATTACATATGCCATTAATGATTCAACTCAGAATTGCTAGCGTTTCTTGTTTAGCTTCATATATGAGAAGCATCTAGCTTTGCCATAGTTCTTACACTTGGGTAAAGAGAGTGACTTTCATGTTTACACCATGGCAATGTCCTGCATGAATATGTGCTTGTGTGGTTGGTTTAGGCGATGACCTTTTGTACTTATTTTGCAGTTGGCTCAGCTGATAATTGAAAATGTTATCTTTATTCTCTTATCATGATAGACAACCTGAAGTGACATTTTGGGTTGCTTTATATGAATTTCCTATATTCTCTGCAGTTCTCAATTTATTCTAAAATTAGGTCTGGTGGTTTCTTTGCTCAAAAGGAAGTTTCAATAGATTGCATATGCACTTCATTTCAGTGAATTTGTTTGGCCCCCCGTGTGTTTTGTGTCACAATCATGCTTGTATGTTATTTTGGTCACTTGTTGATTAGTTGTACTGACGTGGTTATTTGTGTTCTACTCTGAAGGTGCCATTGAACTCTCCATATTAGCGGATTATTATGGACGTGAAATTGCAGCATATGATATTCAGACCACTAGATGTGATTTATATGGCCAGGTTACAAATATTCGCATCTGTTTTCATCAGATTCCAGCAAATTTGCATTACGAAATTTTTCTTCTCTTTTTTTTCCTTCTTATGTTCAATTTGACAGGAAAAGAAGTATTCTGAAAGAGTTATGCTGATCTATGACGGGCTTCATTATGATGCTTTAGCTGTATGAAACCTTATGATCCATTCCTTCAAATAAAATTTAATTTTTCCTTTTATGTTTTTTAATTGATGATATGGTCAAGTAATGTATTATTATAGCTCATATATAGAAAGCCTGACATCTCCAATCAATGCATGTAAGAACTCCTGGTCAAGGAGAATCAATCAGTTTATGGATGTAGCTAGATATGTGGGCTGGTGGCCCAAAAGTTAAAAAATGTCATAACTAAAACTTGCATTTATAAATACATGTTAGAAATTTGTAATGGTGGTGGTGACTTCCTCTTGCTTAAGTTACTTCCCCCAACCCCTATTTTAACCATATATTATATTACATATTTGCATGTACCGCCAAAAAGATTTGCAAAGAGAGGAATATTTTGCATATTTGCTGCCACCATTTGTTTAAGAATTTGTTGGTGCTAGTCTTAATGTTTTATCTATTCACTCGTGTGCTTGACTGAGATATGGTGTATCAACAGACGTCTCCATTTGAGGGAGCTCCGGAGGAGTTTGATCAGACTATATTTGCTGTGCGGAAAGACAGGACCATTGGGCCAGCTGAGGGACTTGCTCATAATTTTGTTAAGGAGCAACAAAGGTAGTATTTAAGGATCTATACAAGTCCTACTTTAATGATCAATTCTTTAAAATTTTTAAATGTTTCATATCTCAAAACGAAATGTGACTGCACAAGAACTGTTTTCCATATTAGTTCAAATGTTATTATGCATTGTGGTTTCTAGCTGTCTGTTGTGAGAGAGATTTCCAGATCTTAGAAATCTTTTTTTTCATTTTATTATTTTCTATGATATTTAAGCATTCTGAAGCAGTTTACTTTTCATTGTTACTCATCACCTAATACATTGTGTTGCTATTTCCCAGGAAAAGGAGTTACACGGACACTGCCAACTTCACTTTGCGTTGTGGAGTATGCCAAATTGGCGTCATTGGCCAGAAGGTTATTTCTTATCTATGCTAACTGTGTTGACCTTATCTATACATTGTGTTGCTATTTCCCAGGAAAAGGAGTTACACGGACACTGCCAACTTCACTTTGCGTTGTGGAGTATGCCAAATTGGCGTCATTGGCCAGAAGGTTATTTCTTATCTATGCTAACTGTGTTGACCTTAAGATAGTAAAATTACATAATAAAGCTGAAAAAATCCATGGTACATATGTGAATGTGCCATGCCAGTTTTCTCCATGTTCTTAGTTCTTTCTTTCTCATCAAGATTTCAGAAATTCTTATGCTTGTTACTGATGATGCTTCTTTTACATAATTGTACAGGAGGCTGTGGAGCATGCTCAAGCAACGGGCCAGGCTAATTTTCAGGAATATAGATAACAGTAAGCATTTGAGAAACCGTCGTAAACCGACCCATTTTGTTTCAGTGAACTCTTTGACATCAGAATTCACTGGCTTGCTGAAGAACTAATAAACGTTTTACTGTTACCTTTGGAATTGTTGTAGAAATATTAGTGCTGTATGATTGAAAAAATGTACTACTTTCTATTCTGGAATTATGTTACAAAATCAAAAGTTAATTACCTGTTAGATGCAAGAATACGGAGTAATGCTTTGATGTTACGGCTCTTATAGATGCTTCTCAATTGTTGAGGAATTAATTGCTTCCATTTTTTCTGAATGGGGGTTTTATTGGGCCCCTTATTTTTTTCCAATTATTATGATAAAAATTGACAAAAAGTCTTCTAGCCGATAGCAATTAATGTACCATATCATCCATTTGACTATTTAGTAAGATCTATTTTTAAATAAACCATTATAACAGGTGTGATTAATTAGGTAAAAGACTTCTAGTAGCACAACATAATAATATGGACAATGTTAAACCGTTCATTGGTATTATTTGATCAAATTATAAACAAAACTGACCCAGTAATAATACTGAATAAGAACCCTTTTCAAAGTTCCAAATTCTAAAATAATTTCGCATGCTTTCATTAAGTGACATGGGTCCACAGAAAGCATAAACTTGACAGAATAAATTAGAGGTGGGAAAAGGTTGAATGATATTTGCCCATCTATAATGACGTATCATTGCATATAAAATTATTGTATCATTTATCATATAAATTTGAGGTGGGAACAGGTTTAAAAATTAGTTGATTGATATTCTTTTCCCATTAATTGGTACACCAAATCGTGGCAAACATATGGTTCATTTGAGTGTTTTTATACATTTATATTTTGTATTTAAAATTAGTAATTTCATCGTTATGCACTTGGACCTTAGTACCAAAATATTCTCATCGGGACCACAAATCCAATAGAAATTTTTGCTTTTGTCCTTTCTATGACTATGCTACTCCCATGCATTGGATTATTTGTTTGCTCCTTCCATCTTATACCTAACCTAATGCGTTTTCCTGACTCATTAATCTTAATTAATTTCCATGTGATGGGACCATATTTCCACTTGTAAAATAATATCTTCCTTTGGCTTTTACCAGTGATTATATTATATGTATGAGATAGAAAACTTGCACTTGCAGAGACACTGATAAAGAAGTTGACAGTCCCCAGTACGAGTGAGTCCATCGCCCGGCATCGGGAGAAGAGGAGGAATCCTTGACCAAAGAGGATAGGAGAGCGGAGGATGTATTAGCGACGCCGCTGAGTCACCAGCCCGCAACCGGAGCTGGGTTGTCCCAGACTGCGGTCATGGACGAGGAGACCGAGACAATTACTTTGAAGATTCCTACTACCGCATCAACCTATTCTGACGCGACTTCCATGAGCAAGTTGGTCGACTCGTTCTTGTTCCCGATGGGTGAGGCGCGTTTCAACAAGATGGGCGCAGTTGCTGTCGCTGACTGGGGGGTGTCCCGCACTTTTCAGGTATGGCAGGAATTTCGTTTTATTTTGTTCTTGACTTTCGTACTAATGACAATATTTTGTTGTGCAAGCATTCACAAGCAATCTTCATCTGAGGAAGTCTGTGGTGGCGTAGGAGAAGAGAATACAAGATGTGTCTAAGGCGAACACTAGTTTGCGTCAGAGAGAAGCAGCAGGCTGAGCAAGAGAGTCAGTAGCGTGTAAGAGCGTGATCTGGAGAGATTGAGGGGTGGGTTGGCCGAGAAGACCGTAGAGGTCGAGTCTCTCAAGGAGCAATGCCTCTCTATTGCAGATGATGCTATTATCAGGGCCTGGGGAGAGCTCATGCTTGAGTACAAGGCTGGGAATACCTCTCATTGGGATCCAGACGATGACATCTAGCTCATGTTGGAGATGCTAGAGAAGGGAGCCGGGTATACGGAGGGGCAGGTTGAGGAGCAGATGCCCGACCTTGCTAGCCAGCCAGGGCCGTCGAATGTTAAGGATGCAAGTGACCAGGTTGCTGGGATGGGTGCTGGCGGTGTAGATAGGGTGACCGAGTCAGAGATGGGGGAGACGACTCACACTGAGGACATTTAGCTTAGTTTTCCTCTGCTTATGTATTTTGGGGCCTGTGATGCCCTTTTTCTTGGCGTGTTGTACTCTGAACTGAGCCGTTTGAGGCTGTATGTATTATACTTGCTATTTTATTTTTTGATGCTTTCTTGATGGATGAATGAGTTGTTGATTGCTTATTTGCTTGTAAATGTACTAGGGGTTGAACTTTCATGCAGTGCTTGTGATTTTCGTATGGCCGAGTGGCTAAGTCATGTGGGCCTTTCGTTGGGCTAGGTCAATGACTTGTCGTTTTGAGGTGTAAGAAACCTTTCACTCGGTCTGGCTATCTGGATGGGTAGCTTCATGAACTGGGCGGGGCTGGTCGAAGTTGTAAATCTGTGGGTCAGGCAGGCCGATCTGAAGATGTTATTCCATGAATCGAGTAGGGTCGATCTGAAGGTGTAATTCCATGGATCGATCAGGGTCGATCTGAAGGTGTAATTCCGTGGATCGAGTAGGGTCGATCCGAAGCTATAAATCCGTGGATCAAGCAAGGTCGATCCGAAGGTGTAAATCCGTGGATCGGGCAAGTCGATTCGAAGATGTAAAAGTAATTTGATCGAGCGAGTTTGATCTGACGATGTGAAATTCTGAATAATACTTCATTAAATTCGGGTCGTAAGGCCGATTGTCTATGAGGAGGTGAATAGGCCCACTCATCCCTTTAAAAATAAAAACAAAAAGAAAGAAACACTTAAACGGATAAGTTCACCTAGAAGTAGTAGCGCTTGAGATGGACTGCATTCCAACTATTGCTAATGTCTTTGCCTTCTGGAGTCTGGAGTCGATAGGCACCCTTCCTCGCTTATTTGAATATCTTGTAGGGACCCTCCTAAGTGGGCCCGAGTTTACCAGAATTGATCTCCCTAGTGTTTTGAAAGACCTTGTGGAGGACCCAATCACCTATTTTGAAAGTTCTGATCCTGATGCTACAGTTGTAGTGCCGAGCGGCCTACTACTGGTAGATAGCGTTGCGGATGCTCGCCTACTCGCGGAGCTTATCGACGGTGTCCAAGTTCTGACAAAGGTTCTGGTTGTTGATTTCCTCGTCCGCCCATTGGAGTCTGGTGGACGGAATTGATACTTCAACTGGGATTATCGCTTCAGAACCATATATGAGGGAGAAAGGGGTTTCGCTTGTTGACGAGTGAGCTGTAGTTCGATAGGACCAAAGGACTCCGGGTAGCTCATTTGCCCATGCACCCTTCGCTTTCTGCAGTCGCTTTTTTAGGGTCTATATGATTGTTTTATTTGATGACTCGGCCTAACCGTTGGACTGGGGGTTGCGGGGGGTGGAGAAGCTAAGCTTGATCCCCCAAATGTCGTAGAAATTCCTAAAGCCTGAACTGATAAACTTGGATCCATTGTCGGTGATGATTTCCTTCGGTATCCCAAACCTACAGATGACGTGTTTTTAGATAAAAGCTTTTACCTCTCTGTCCCTGACTTGTGAGAAAGCTTCGGCTTCGATCCACTTAGTAAAGTAATCTATCACAGCCAACATGAAGACTCGTTGCCCGGGTGCGGTCGGTAGTTTCCCCACTATATCCATTCCCCACTTCATGAAGGGCCAAGGTGTGAGGATGGAGTGGAGTCGCTCGGGTGGGAGGTGTGAAACATGAGCGAATCTTCAACAACTGTAGTACTTCTTAACATAAGCAGCCGAATTAGTGCGTATGGTCGGCCAATAGTATCCAGCGGTGATCACCCGGTATGCAAAGCTGCATCACCCAGCATGGTTTCCACATTCGCCTTCATGGAGTTCGGCGAGAACACGTTCAACCTCCTCTAGGCTTGTGCACTTGAGATAGGGACCCGAGAATAATTTTTGGAGGAGTTGGCCCTCATAGATGGTGAATCTGGCAACACTTGCTCTCAGTCGGCGTGCTTCGCTCTTGTCAGCTGGGAGTTCGTTATGCTTTAAGTACTTCATTATCGGGGTCATCCAGCAGTTGGCTAGCTCAATATCCATTGCTTCCTCGGGCGACTTGTTTGGTGGCTGCTTCTTCCAGTTGGCTAGCCATTGTGGGAATAACAAAGGGATGGATGACTGGGAAGAACATTGGAGTGTTGAGTCGAGGTTGGCAAGGGCGTCAGCGTGAGAGTTCTCCATTCTTGGGACCTGGGCGATGGAGAACATACAGCTGGTTGACGACGAGCTGGGAGTCGGACTTCATCTCCAGTCTCCTCGCTCTGATTTCTTTGGCTAGGGAGAGTCCAGCGATGAGAGCCTCATATTCAGCTTCACTATTTGTGCACTTGAACCCACACCGTATTGTCCGCTGGATGACGTCTCCCTCTAGTGTAGTCAATACTAACCCGAGTCTGCTTCCATTCACGTTACTTGATCCATCCACTGAAAGAGTCCACTTTGAGGGTGACCCACTGTCCATGCATAATATTTCTTCCTCTACTCGCATGGTAGTGCTCGAGGTGAAATCAACAATGAAGTCTACCAATGCTTGGGATTTGATGGCAGTGCGAGGCTGGTATAAAATGTCGAACTCACTAAGCTCCACTGTCTATTGTGTGAGTTGGTCTGATAACTTTGGTTTGTGCAGTATCTTCTTAAATGGGAAGAAGGTGAGTACGACTATAGAGTGGCAATAAAAGTACCGCCTGAGAGTCCTGGATGTATGGATGAGCGCGAGGGCAAGTTTTTTCAGCTGACTGTACCGTGTTTCTGCGTCAAGGAGTGACTTGCTGACATAGTAGACCAGTAGCTGCTTCATATCCTCTTCCCGAACTAACACTACTGAGATTGTTGTCTTAAAGACCACCAGATAGGTGTAAAGCTTCTCCCCGTCCATAGGCTTGGAAAGGAGCGGAGGGGAGGTCAGGTACATTTTCAGTTGTTGCAAGACTTCCTCGTAGGAGGGGGTCCACTTGAACTTGTTGGACTTCTTGAGTGCATGGAAGAAAAGGTTGCACTTATCGGCGGATCTGAAGATGAATCGGCTCAAGGCGGCTACTCGTCCTACAAGGCGCTAGACATCTTTTATGCAAGCTAGGGATGGTATACTGAGGATTGCTCTGATCTGGTTGGGGTTGGCTTCTATCCCTTGCTGAGTTACCATGTAGCCTAAGAATTTACCAGATGA